CCAAGCTGCCAGGGTCTTCGAGACTTCGCCGTAAGAAGATTGCATCATTGGGAAAAGACGACGCACCACGGGCACGCATCCAAGACCATGATATTATACCAGAACTGTCTTCGTTGTTGGACACGACCTTGGTCTGCACGCAACAGCGCCCTGGGGCACAAACTGACTCTCGGTGGGAGCAATGGAGGTCTTTTTCTCAAAAAGCCGACGACTCTGTCGTGTCTCTCTCGGGAGGTTTGGCCCGAGCCATGTCCTCGCAGTCAGAGGTAGGCAATTTCTGCGCGAGTAATCCGGCTTCAAGACTGACTGTCAAACACAGATTGTTGACTTTGTAGTATGGCAAATATTCAATAGAAGTGCTGCTTGGCCGAAGCACCTCCTCTGTGATGGCTTCAGGAGGCAGGCTCAGAATATTGCCACTGCAAAAGGCCACGGTCACGACAGCGGGATTCAGGGGCTGGTCTCAGTTGACCCGAATCATTACGTGCAGGCCCTCAAAGAGGCCCCTTGGCCGCAAGCACTCATGCTGCTCGGGAAATCAGGTGAACAGATCATGATAGATCTCCTCATCGATACGGCGATATTTCTTCCTGTGAAAGCCGGCCTCGGTAATATGTACCAGCTCAGTGGTATTCCCATGTCAGAGACAGGTGTAGCTGCCAATCAGGACAACAAGAAGCAGACCAAAAGAGATACCACAGCGCCCACTACACCCCGCGAGCGGCTCCCGTCTGAAATCAACTTCATCAGAAATCGCATGCTCTACGCTCGAGCTGCTCTTACCGCCAAGGGTACGGTTCAGTACGGACTGCGGCACATACGTAAGTTGGCATTTAAACCAAAGGTAGGGAGGCTTCCACTGACGCTAATCATCAGATGTCTTGAGTCGCTGTCCTCGTCTATCTTGTCCAGAACAGGCAATCGAAGAAGAGAAAACAAAAATGACAGCGGCGAACGAGCGCAACACGCTGAAAGTCATGATGTACATGTTCCCTCGACAGTTTGGCTTACACAATGCCTTTACCTCCAAAGTTGACCACTCCAAGACATCGCAAAAGTTTGCAGACTACACTCTCCGCGAAGAAGAGATCTCGACAACATTCAAGGGGCGGGATATTAAGTTTCCAAAGAGACTGCGTGGAGACGCAAAACGACTGGTGCAGAGGCTGCAGCTTCTCCATGGTCGTTGTGCTTACGCTGAGATACTGCGGCATTACTGCCCCTCTGCCATTGATTTCAAAGCCCGGAAACCCGCCTCGAAGAAGCCAGTGAAGCAGTCCAGGAGACTTGATCCTACACAGGTGGCGGGAAGAGACAACAACCAAACAGTCGTGTCTTCTGGTCCCCCCAGGAATAGTACACAGAGCCGCTCTAAGCTTCATCAACCCGAGGCGCCTCCGCTGCTGCCCAAGTTTGATGCGATCACTGACTTGGCGACTCCCGCAGCTCATGTTTCCGCGTTCTGTCAGGCTGTATTGGCCAAGATCATTCCAGATGAGATGTGGGGCACTGGTGAGGACGGGACTTACAACAAGCGTCAGATACTGAAGAAAGTCAATCACTTTGTCAAATTGCGGAGGTTCGAGGCCATGTCCCTGTGCGAGCTCGCAGACGGACTCAAGGTAAGGAAACTCATCTTGCCCTCGTGGAGTTCTATCTAACGCTCTTATCAAGATCACGAGTATGGAGTGGCTAGCGCCTCCAGCTCTCAAAGGCCAGAAAACCAGCTTGACTGACATGAGGAAACGACATGAAATTATGAATGAGTTTTTGTACTACATTTTCGATTCGCTCTTGATACCCCTTTTGCGCAGCAACTTCTACATCACAGAGTCGAGCTCTCACCGCTATCGTCTATTTTTCTTTCGACATGATGTTTGGCGGTACGTCGCAGAGCCAGCAATGGCGACTCTCCGGACAAACATGTTTGAGGAGATCAAGCTTGACCGGGCTACCGCAATCCTCGACTCAAGACGACTGGGCTTCAGTCGTATCCGGCTTCTGCCCAAAGGAAAGGGCATGCGGCCGATCACGAACCTGCGAAGGAGAACAGAGATCAGGGGCAGGAGCTCCGTCCTCGGCCCAAGCGTAAACTCTGTACTGGGTCCGGTTCATTCCATGCTCAAGCTCGAAACGGTGACCATCAGTCAATCTCTGTGTCATCCGCCTACTTGCTAACTATCTTTGCAGCAAAGTAACCCCTCCAGGCTTGGATCATCCATGTTTTCGGTGGGTGATCTATACCACCGTCTCAACGCATTCAGTGCCAGATTTGGCACCCACCGCCCAGTGTTCTACTTCGCAAAGGTAGATGTGCAGTCTGCTTTCGACACAATTCCCCAAGAGTCCGTAATCAGGCTGATGGACGGCATTCCGAGTCAAGAACAATACATCTTCAAGAAGCACGTCGAAGTCAAAGCCGGATTACTGGATTCTCGGCACCAGAAGAATGCAATATCAAAAGTAACGCGACGGTGGCACTCCATCGCCGTCAGCCGCGACGACACGACCGACTTTTCGCAGTTGGTAGAGAAGCGCCTCGGTATAAACCGCAAGAACACCGTCTTCGTGGGTAACACAATGAGGAAGGAGTTGGAGACGGAGGCCCTGATGGGCCTGATGGCGTCGCATATCAAGCAGAACCTCGTCAAGGTGGGCAAGAAGTTTTACAGGCAGAAGAAGGGCATTCCGCAGGGCTCTGTGTTGTCTTCCGCTCTGTGCAACTATTTCTACGCCGACCTTGAGGCGCAGCATCTGTCCTTCCTGTCGGAAGAGGGGGAGGATGATGAGGGAGATTGTCTGCTCCTGAGGCTGATTGACGATTTCCTCCTCGTCACGACGGACCAGGCGAAGGCGCACAGGTTCGTGCGGGTCATGCACGGCGGGCTGCCCGAATACGGCGTCGCTGTCAGCCCCAACAAGACCTTGGTCAACTTTGACATGGAATTTGATGGTACGAAAGTAGCAAGACTTCCAGAGGAGGGTCGGTTCCCTTACTGTGGACTGAGCATCGACTGTGATACCCTCGACATTGTCAAAGACCGAGGCCATGTCAAAGATACAGGTAAGCTTCTTCATGTCTCCGTCGGAAAATGGTAGGAAAGCGCCGCCGCGCTGTGAGCTAACCTTGCCATCAGTGGTTTCCAACGCGTTGACGGTGGATTACGGAAACAAGCCCGGCCAGAATTTCCAAAGAAGAGTCTTGAGTACGTGTTGCAACCTCACCCCCGTAGCTCCTCTCAACATAGCTGCCCCCACTCGTGAAATTCGATTCAACCCCGTCAGCTAACCTTTGTGTCATCCGCTACCAGACGCCTTCAAGATCCAATCCCACCTCATGTTCTACGACACCAAACACAACTCCCTCAAAACCGTCATGTCAAACCTCCACAAGGCCTTTGCCGAGACGGCCGAAAAGATGTGGGCGTACTGGCGCTGTCTTCCCACCAGCAAACGACCCGGTGACGGGCTCGTCATGCGTACGTGTGTCCCTTGCGCCTTGCGAGAGACAAACCCTCCCGCTCATAAGCCCCACCATTGCTTAAAGCTGGGATTATTCCTTCATCCTGACTAACAGTCTTTGCTTCTCTCTCTATAGAGACCTTGAGCAAAGTAATCGACGTGGCTTTCGGGTTGCTTACAAGCAAGTCTCGGAGGCAAAAGTACCCAGAGTACGACTGCGCCGTGGAGAAGACGCATGTTGCGTGGTATGTATTTCTTCCATCCCCAGGCCCCGTACTGTAGACAACCCGCTGTCTTGGAAAGTATGTGCGCGCTAACTGAATGATTCTTTCAAGGCTCGCTCTCGATGCAGTGAGGACGGTCCTCGCGAGGAAACAGGCAAACTTTACGACGGTGTTGTCGTGGATTGATGCGGAGCTCGGGAGGCTCGACTCCAGGAAGACGGCCCGGGCGAGGAAGTACATACGGGGATGAACAAATTTAATGTTACCGCAGTACAAAATACAAATTCGACGACAAGATTTGATGTTACCCTGTGTTTGTGTTCCCTCCGAGGCAGAATCCTCCTTGCCAATCATAAGGGGTCGGATGGGAACTCCCCGTGTTCGTGTTACTCCTTCAATGGCCCTCCTCTGTGCCGCACAACAACCTATCCATATCGACACGTCGACGACCGTTGGCGATAAAACCCATGCCAGAGTTTCCCTCGTGCTACCAGGAATCGTACTGCTTGCTGAGCGGCAGTTGGACTTGGACTTTTTGTGCGATGCGACAGTTGTTCATATGAAGCGAAGCACCAAAGTTATCTCCGAGGCGAAGCAACCCAAACACCGCCTCGAATGACTTCGAAACCAAGGCATTCTTTCAAGAGTAAAGTTGACGTTATCAAATCTCACATAGAAAATGATCAGAGCTGCGGCCTTCTATGAACTTATCCTCGATCGTGCGAAGCCCTCCTGAGAGCTTGGGAAAGAAGTAAATAGGGGTACTTTCAACGTAGCTACGACGATGGCCTCCGCAACCATGGACGAGCAAGAGAGACTCTTCCTAGAGAAACTCGCCGCAGCGTCCGAGTACCCAGACTCCCTTCTCTACCGAGATGAACGACTGGCGACACTCAAGGCACGCAACGGGCATTATGCCGAGAGAAAACATCAAGTATTTGACCAAGACTTGGGGAAACGGAAGGATAACCCGTTGATCATTATCGATTTCGGCAAGGGTGACTCGCCGGTGGCAGACGGTTCCGACGACGAGGTGGCTAGCGGGAAGAAGAGTGTAGAGAATGCCGACTTACACATCATACGCACCATCGAGGATCTGCGAAACAAGCTGTTCTGGCGAGATCCGAAGCAAGGCCTATTGGAGCCCGGGCACCTTGAGAAGGACCCTCCACTACGAGTGATGTGAGTCCTGCTCGTCGAAAGCACATCAAGCGCAACAGCCAGAGACACTAATCGCAGCAAAAACAGCCTGCTAGAGCGCATGTAGCCGACCTCGCTGCTACTGAACCTCAGCGAAGACGTACTGCTAGAGATCCTAACCTACCATCAGATTCCGGCTCACTTCCTGACCTTCGTCACTAGCGGCGGCGAGTCCTGGAGCTTCGCCAGCAGCATGAGCTTCGCGGGCTTCAAAGGCTACACGAATACCCTCCCGGACCCTGGTCGACAGCCCACCAACTTGGCGGTGCTGGGTCGTAGTGGTAGGCATATTCAGATCTGCCTCACCTTATTCAGCATCCGCGAGTATCCCTTGCACGCCTTGCCCCGAGAAGCGGACCCCGCTAGAACGCCGCGCTGGGAGACGCACTCCGCGGTCGTGTACGTTCACTTTGACATTATCGAGGGCACGGCGGTGTGGTTGCTCGCTAGCCCCCGATCGTATCATCCGGAAAGGGGTCAAGGGACGCAGAACCTGCTTTGGAACAGTTTGAAAGACGGCATGGCGGGTGACATGGACGGGCTTCGGTCGCTCGACGTCCCCGAGCGATTCCGCATCAGTGTTGACAGTCTCCTCGCCGCTGCCGAGTGGTCCATCGGGATGTTTTCACATCACGTCCAGGACACGGAGAAGAGGCTCTACGACTTGGTGAGTCCGGTTTGCCACACGACGTGAGAGGTGCAGCAGAAGTCGAAACCATGCTGAGATTTGATCCAGACCAAGCCGTACGTGTATCCGTATGACGACGAGGAGATGGTCGACGACAAGGCAAGCGAATCAATCCACGCCCAGGACCTCCGTAGAATGGCGTTCTTGATGGAAACTCGGCATGGCAGTGTCATGAAAGTTGAGAATAACCTTCGGGTCCTCCGTAGAATGGCGTTCTTGATGGAAACTCGGCATGGTTGTGTCATGAAAGTTGAGAATAACCTTCGGGTCCTCCGTAGAATGGCGTTCTTGATGGAAACTCGGCATGGTTGTGTCATGAAAGTTGAGAATAACCTTCGGGTCCTCCGTAGAATGGCGTTCTTGATGGAAACTCGGCATGGTTGTGTCATGAAAGTTGAGAATAACCTTCGGGTCCTCCGCCGTCTCCGAGAGTTTTTCGTGGAAGAAGTAGCCGGCCATCTCGGCCCTCTGAGAGATTCCCACGCCGATGACATCCGGACGCATATCAAAGGCTTTGCGGAGAAATTGACATTGGTGATCACAGAGATCGAGGACTTGTTGGACATAGCATCAGCACTGGATATCATGGCCCGATGATAGATGAGGAAAGCAGATGGAGAGATAGCCTCAGATCGCAATGTGGCAGTGCCTCTACCTTAGCCTCCGTACTCGTGTATGCACTGTCATTTCTCGAGGTACCTTACCTTAGGTACCTGAGGTTATTACTTGTTCAGGCAAGAAGAAGGAAGGGGTCCAGGGCAAGCACGGCAAGTTGAGTCTCCTGGTGCTGAGGTAATGACGCTGGTGCATAGGAGGTTTTAGCGAATCAGCCCACTACACGCTGCTAGCGGGCGACTGAGTCCGCTAAAAATGGCCCCCATGATTCATCGTCTTCGGATCCGACAGGGAACCACCTCGACTGGCCGATGTTTTCCAGGGAAGGCCCCATCACCCGAAGCAGGTGCCGTGCAGAGGTGGTGGCGGGCTGGGAAGCTTGCGTGGGGCTGCCTTCCACACTCTTGCCTTTTCTGACCACACGACTTACTTATCTTACGGTCCAGTGCAGGGGAACCTACCTTGCCGTGGTGAGGAAGGAGTGGGCTCCGGCTCTTTCATAGACCGGCGGCGTGATTGACGTCAGACGAAAAGAAGCGGCGATTCTGCGGCTGCTCGTCTCCCGCCGGCTCAGCTTACCACGCTTACCTTAAGGCTTACCCTACCGTAATTACCTTGAACCCTTGTTTGATTCAATTCAACAGAAAAACACAAGTGTGAAATGCGAAAAGGTAAACCGAAGGAGAGGCTAGTGTAAACAACAATACCCTTACCCTGTCTCTTAGTTCCATCCGTCTACCTACCTATCCCCTCTTTCCATTATCTCGTCTACTCTCTTACACTCCGATACCCGACTCATCCTTGCTCGCATGACACTGCCATCCCATCCTCCTTCTACAACCTGCTACCTATTTGAGATCTCAGTTTTGTTTCCAAAGGGGCGAAACACATCTTGACTTGCCATGTTCTGTGGACGACAGAAGCACGCACTCTCTCACACCCACTCGCCTCATCCATAATTATCATCCAACTCACCCACACACGCCACACGTCGCATAATTTCAGCCCATCGCATTGCTGCTGCTCCGGGGCCTTTGCCTTTGAACCGTCGTCTCTATCTACTTTACCCCGATTCAAACCGGCTGCGGGCTCTTGAACCATCCCGTTCTGCCCACTCGCGACAACCATACTCGGGTTCGCTTTGCAAACGACGACATCTGACGACCTGGTCCAAGCACGCCGAAATTCACGAGGGCATTGGAGTAAGATCACTGGCAGACTGTCAAACATCTGAACCATATCAGTTATTCTCAAGACGCTTCAAGTGTTTTCTGTTTCCATCTTCCTTAACCAGATAACCCTGGCTGTGGCTAAGCTAACGCCTCCGTCGCCTTTCCGGACTCGGGGATTCAGCCGTGTCTCGTTTATCTCGTGTAATGTGCGAGTCAGAGATACACCCAGCTAGCCGCAATTAATGGCGTTTTTATTTATACAACACTTCGTTCTCCCTTCTTCCAACGTCTCTTGGCTCACCATTCCCGATCACCATTGAGCTTTCGAAAGGTCTATCTCCTGAGGCTATCTCCTGAGGCAAAACATTACCAGCTGTAGTCCAAGGACGGCATCCAGGTCGAGAACAATATGGCAGCCGACATCAGCACGACGCTGGGTATCCCAGGCCTCACCGCACCAATATTGGCAAACGCCACAAAGCCCAATCTCGCCAACATCAGCGCTCCCTTGCTTGCCACCATAGTTCGCGATAGCTATCGTGCTACCTTCAAAGCTCGGGTCGCCGCCGGTGAAGCACGACCTTTTGTACTGCCTTACGGCATATTTGCTAGCTTCATCCTCCCCATCCTCTACTTAACCTTTCCGCACACAAAACGGCCATGGCTATACAAGGCACGATGGCTCGTGCTAGCCTTCATCGTCATCTTCAATATCGACATCTTGTTGGGCACCTCCAGCACCAATATGTCCATATCTTATTCTAGTGGTCTGTCAGCCTTTTGGGGAATCTTGTCCAATTTCATCATGCTAGTATTCACGGCACCACAATTCGACTACGAGAGAGTTGTTCGAAGGAGGAAGGCCACCACTACCCCCAGCAGATCCAATTCGCCTGTGGATCGCGCAGCTCCAGCAAACGGATTCGGACTCAGGAAGCGAGCTGGTAGCAAGAAGCGAAAAGCAGACCGCGTCACAGCCCCTGAAGTTAACCTTGAAGAGTACGAGTACTACTGGCAGACTTTTCCAGAGAAGGGCTCTTTCTCAGAGCGACTTGGCTGGGTCATTGACCTCTACACCAATTTCAGGGGAGTCGGTAAGCAAGCTTGTTCCCCATGCTATAGCAAACCTTGTACTGACATATCTCAGGTTGGACTTGGGCTGTTTCGTCGGTTCCCAGCCCGGTCCCCCCAGAGAATCTCAGCACGGGTGAGCTCGTCAAGATGGATACCATCCCGTTAAAAACATTTGTGGGATGCCAGACCTACAAAGACGAGAAAGAATTCTTGCGCCGGAAAGTCATCCCCGTAGCAATCTCGTATTTGATCCTCGATATCTCTAAGGTTGCCATCATGGAGGACCCATACTTCTTCCTCGGACCCGAGTCGTTGCCCCTTCCTGCTCATCTGGCGGCTCTCCCACCATGGGCTTTATCCATATGGCGGCATGCTGCCGTGCTCGGTATTCTCTACGCCGCACTCGTCATGGTCTTCTCCGTCCATGACCTGTTCCAGTATTACGTCCTCAGCAAAGTGTTCCCCATGCGGGGTGAGCTGTGGCAGTACTCGACAGTATTCGGTTCCTTCACACAGATCCTGGACAGAGGCTTGGCTGGGTTCTGGGGAGCTTGGTGGCACCAGACCTTCCGACATGCCTTCTCTGCGCCAGTTAGCTGGGCTGTAAAACGTGGTTATCTCGAAAAGGGGACGCGCAGCACAAAGGCAATCGGCATGTCTACTGCTTTTCTTCTTTCCGGCTTGCTCCACGGTGCCGGAAGCGTCAGCGCAATCCCCGAGACCAAGTGGTGGAAGCCAGCGCTTTTCTTCTGGTTGTCGGGGTTGGGCGTCCTCACTCAGCAGACGTTCTGCATCGCCATGAAGTCCCAGATTACAAAGATGCCTCGCACGTTGAGGAGAGCTGGGAACCTCTTATTCGTGCTCGTGTGGCTGCACATCACAGTTCAGCCATTGGCCGACGACTTTGCCCAAACTGGCCTCTGGCTCATGGAACCCGTTCCCGTGTCGGTCGTGCGGGCCCTCGGCTTCGGACGCGGAGAGACATCGTGGTGGAAGCCTGATGTGGAAGCGATTGGACACTGGCATGTTGGACAGCATTGGTGGGATTCTGGGTTTAGTTACTAGAGCATCGGCGCAAGCCTCATCTCATGTTACCTATGATGCGAGGAAGTAACGTTGGTAGCTTCTTTTGTGTATAAACTTCAAGAGAGATATTCCTTTTCTTTCGCCCGTTGCTGTCCCTCCGATTCGGGATCGCCATTCACTTTGCCGTGACCTGCGCCTCCGTTCTTCTGATACTCTGCAGGATCATTTCCTGCGCGGAGCTTCTCAAGTCCATTCTCCTCCTCACATGTGAGTTTTCGCGGAATATGCATTCCTAGTGGTCATCATCCTAGTTTTGTGTTAATGGGCCTTGCACATCAATCGGTAAGATAGGTGGGTGTGAGTACACACCAACTTGACTATAACATGCCCGTGAGGAAAGACCTGATTGAAGTATGTCTCGATAACGGGCTTTCCGAGGCCGCAAACGGGGGTTCTGTAACCGTAATACACCCTCGAGAGGAAAAAGTTGCGTACGGTGTTGTTCATCTTGTGCGTTTCGAGCATCTTGTTCCTTGAGTGAGCTTGTTTGGTGATGATGTCAGGGGGTTGCTGTGGCTTGCTAGTTTCCGTGGAACGGGCAGAGGCTGTCATATTCGAAGATGACCTTGTTATGTTTACCTTTCCCTTTTTTATACCCTATCCGGGTGACTTTACTTTGTCGATTTCTGCTGACTCGAATTTCACAAGATAAGGCAGGCAGGCAGGCAGTGGGTAAACAGCCCAACTGGATCGTCCCTTCCCGCACACTGCAATGAGAGAAGGACCAAAGGTATATACCCCCCCTCAATCCCAATTTCCGTCACCACAACCAGCAGGCGCCCGTCTAGGCCGACGGGTCAGGTCAAACTGGGATGGATGGGGGAGTGGTATATGGTCAACAACAAATCCCAGCATGAGCACCAAGAGATGTAGCCCCCAGTTCAACACCGGGGGGGTGAACTCTTTTTTTGGTGGCTTCGTAAATTACCATTGCATAGTTGAATGAGTTTACCTTCTTCTGCTGGTCCGTATGAGGGCTTTCTAAATCCTTCCCTCATATCGTGTGACTGCGATGGCCATGTGGAAACTCACCTTGACACCAGGAGAAGAGATACATAAGCCTATGTCTGGTATCTCACATAAACAGGTTAGCTTAGAACCATAGTGGTTTTGATCCTATGCCTTGCCATTCCGAATCACTCACAACATACATGCTTCATCCAGCCCGGCATAATCACATCACTCGAGCGAGACCAATCATTATGATGAATACTGGTATGCTTGAATGCTGCATACTAAGGTACTAGAAGCCTGATTATCTGGCTTAGTCAACGCCATGAGCCCTCCTAGGTAGAAAAATGAGAAAGAAAGGGGGTATCTGAGCCGAAGGAGAAAAGCCATCCCAAACCCTGGTCTGTCCTGAACCTCTGCCTCTTCCAACGCCAGTCTGACCAAATGCAATAAGAGAGATGGGGGTATCTCGCAAACCCAAAGCCAGTCCCAAACCAACCCAGAGTAATCCTCAGCCAACCGATGCTGAAGAATCCAAATCCATGACGATTAAGAAAGGATTATAAGAAAGGGACGTGAAACCAAGACCAAAACGCAATGCTCAAACCAAAACCAAACGACGCGGAAACCCAATGCCGATACTAAACCCCAAGCCAGTGTACAAAAGTTGCTATTCGAAGGAAATGCAGCCTTTCGATGTCGTAATACTAGTAAGAGCGAGAATCCTCAGTGCCAGGTGGTGTAGGTCGTGTGCGTATTAGTTGCCGTGGCCGCCAGCCGACATGAACATCAGAGTGTTGGCACCCACCACATCCTCGCCATTGATGGGGAAGGTGAGGCTAGGCTGAACGGCAGACTGAACTTCCTGTTCGAATATTAGCAAGTCAACCTTTGAGGTCTTCAGAGAGTTTGCACGACTTACATTGATCTGGACAATGTCGGGAACGAACGCAGCGGTGGATTGGATGTCTTTATCAGTTGCGTCCATCCAGTTTCTCGTCAGGGGACATTGCCCCAAGTTCATATTGACTATGATGGTGTTGGTATAGCCGCGAAGGAGCTGAAATGCGGCCAGCTCTCCGTTTCTGCGCTTCATCAGCGTCAAGACGATGTTGGCCACCCAAGCACCGTGGACGACCTCGCGAAGGATGCTGTCATACTGCTGGGCTGCGGAGACACCGCCATTTCGGACGTGGAGCTTGACCTTGTGTTGAATCGCATCCATGATATCGACCATGCTGGCGGTGACGAGGCGGCGGCTGGCTTCACGCTCTTCGGGGGTGACGTTCGGGGCAATGCGCTGGGGTGAGAAGACGTGCTGCTGCTGCAGAACCTGGATCTGTGACTGAGTTGGGAACGGGTTCCCAATCTGCATCTGCTGCTGAGCCTGAACCTGGGTAGAGGACTGAGTCTGGTTCGAAGACTGAGCCTGGGAAGCCTGAACTTCCTGAGAGGCCTGGACACTCTCAGAAGCTTTGCCCTTCTGAGTAGCCTTAGCCTTCTGAGGAGTCGCGATCTTGTTGGGAGTATCGATGGTGCCAGCAGACATGGAGCTCATTCCGGCAGTGAGAGAGTCCATCTTTCTCGTGTTCTGACGCTTCGCGGCCGGGGCCTTCTCAGCAGCAGTCGCCGCACGCTTGTTCTCGATCGCAGGGCTGGCGAAGGCATGACTATGGACGGCTTGAGTCTGATGGGCGGAAGAGGGAGAGGGAGAGGCATTGGCCTTGTGAGCGACACCAGGGTGAAGCTGCGGCAGACCGCGGTGACGGTAGCCCTCGCCGTACTGAGGAGCATGGAGGTACGCGCCTCCGCCTTGAACTTGTCCCTGCTGGGCGTAGCTATGGTCCTGGGAATATCTTGTGAGTGGAAGAACTCATAGTGAGGAAGAGGGTGCTGTTATTACCTGGGCCGGGATGTTGGCCTGCTCGACAGCCGAGTCGCCGTAGGCAAGGCGAGAGGTCTTTCCCTTGGAGGCTTGGGACTTCTTGGCCTCGGGGATTTCGGACATCTTCACCTCGTCCTGAGCATCGGGCTCCTCCTTCTTCACGCTGCCGCTGCGCATCTTCTCGTACGTGTTGATGGCAGCGGCGCGGACGGGACGGGACTGCGCCAGTCCGACAGGAGCGACGCCCCTGCCCGCGGTGGCGACGGCGGCGCTGGGGGTTGAACCCTTGCCGCCGACCTCCGCAGGCGGAACGTACTCCTTGTCGGAAGGAGCGCTCATATCGTCGTCGTCGAAGTCGGAGTAGGAGTCGGAATTGTAGTACGTCTTCTTGCCCTTCTTCTTCTTCTTGCTTGCCTTATTCTTCTTCGAATGCTTGGCCTGCGAAGGGCGAAGCTGAGTGGCGGAGGGATTCTTGACCTTTGTGGGTGTATATAGAGCAAGGGACGAATTCTGGTTGGAGGTGAGGGTGGTCTGTAGAAAAGGGAAGGAGGGGAAAAATCAGCTTTTGGGTGAAGAGAGAGGGAGAGGGGTGTGAGTGGGTGAGAATTGGCGTACCTGGGTCATTCGGCTTGCGGAGTCCTTTCCAAAAGCCTTGCCGCCCTTCTTCGAAGAGCTCTTCGAAGCAGAAGACTTGCCCTTGGTCGCCGAGGCAGAAGGAGTGTTGGCCTGACGGCCCGGGGCGACGATGGCCATGGACGGCTGGCCACGAGCGCCCGAGCCGGGCTGGTTCAAGTGCTTCACCCAGTCGAAATCGCCAACCTCGTGAGGGGCGTGAGAGTCGAGGTTCGAGATCTCGCCCTTGGCAATACAGTCGCGGCAGACGGTGATGTAGCAATCGTTGCACATCTGATGGACGGTCTGGGCGCCAGTAAGCTTTTGGCAACAGTCGCAGGCAATCCCGGGGAGTTGAGTCTGTTCCCAGTTGTCGTGGGGATCTTGCCAGAACACGTCATCGTCGCCATCCTTTCGGCCACCCTTGGACGAGATAGGAGCGTTGAACCGGGACATGGTGATGATGCTGATGATGTCGAAATTCTAGTCGTGATGGGTAAGAGACGAGCTCGTCGAGTTGCTGCTGGTGTAGCGAATATTGAGGGTTGAGCTACGAGAAAGAGCTGAAGGTGTCGAGAGAGGAAACGAAAACTCGAGATGTCGAGGGAAGAAAGAGAACCAAAACAAGAGAAGGTGAGAAGAAAAGGAAACAAAAGTCCTGAGCTCTCGCCCTTCTTGGAAACCCTCATTATCAAAAGAGCGGGTACAACAAGTTGTGAGTTCCCGCCTCATGAGGAAGCCCTAACCTCAGTGAGAGCGAGAGCAGTCGAGAAGAGGTGGGCTCCCCGTCCTTGAGAGGGATCTTCAACATCAACGGGGCCGATGAGATGGGGCGAGCCCCCGTCGGATGAGAAAGCACTCATCGCAAGAAGCACTCATCACAAGAACGGCGGTTACAGGAAAGCATAGGAGCTCTCGCCCTTCAGTAAGGCTATCAATATCAAATGGGCGAGTTTTGGGGAAGGGGGACGCACCATCAGCTCACAGAGACTCTTGATGTGACAAAGAGAACAGTTAACCAATTCACAGACTTTCGATATCAAAAGGGCGAGTATGTGAAAGGGGGTGGGCTCCCACCATAGATAAGCCACAATCGTAGGGACGGCGAATAGACATGAACACAATGATCAAGGGCAAGGCAAGATCCTGTACTATGGCAGAGACTCTGATCAAGTGAATGGCATGTTGCAAAGGAGCCAACGTACTCCTTAAGCGAAACTTATCACATCAAAGAGTCTGAGTGGTATGGACATAAGGACCCCTCGCAGTTTTGTTAAGGGAAGCTTCCACTTGCTTTTCATAAGCAAGAAACCTTGGTATAAAGCAATTGGTTTACCTCACATCCAAGGCTGGTGAGCCCTCGTCTCATATGTAAGCTCCAACGACAACTATGCCAGATAAATAGCAGAAGATGAGATTGATATTTAGTGGCGAAGAGGCCGTATCCACATGATCTCAGTGTGCGTTTGATAATTGGATGATAGGCAGCCTGTCCATACCACGAGAAACATTACTGCGTTGGCTGAGGAGGATCCGAGCCAAGGTGGGTATGATACTACTGGAGATGAACGATACTCTCGGTAAGTACATACTGAGTTCGAGGCACGTTTGACTACTAAGATGAGCTCTGGATGCAAAAGCAGGTGGGCAAGGCCCAGTACCCGAAGCTTCGCCGACCATCCAGTGTAGCTTTGTCAAAGAGCAGTCATCTCTCCACATGAAGATGGGATCGAACGAGACGAATGTTGTTCTTGAATAGAGATTGCGGAAGTTGAAGAGAAATACGATCTGGTATGAAGAGCATATTGCCTTCCTAAAGGTTGCACAAGCAACGTTGGGTAGAGTCCGATATAAGCGATATAACTTGACCTCGTCATATCTGACATGGTGAAGAGGAGATGCCAACATTAGGTATCAAAAAGTTGTGAGACTTGTCATGTAAAACATAGTCAAAAAGGCCAGTGGCGATGGCAGTTTCTAACTATGATCGTGTGATACAGATGAGAACGCCAAGAGTTGAACTTGTTGGAGTTGAAAATCGAGCGATTAGAGAAACGAAATACCACTTGGTACACACTTTGAATAGCGAAGGAGTTGAATTGTCGGAGAAATGTATTGCAATTGAAGAAGACGAAAAGAGGACTGGATGGACAACTTATAAGAAATAAACTGAGCGTGAGGCTTGGCAATGAGCACGAAAATAAATATGTTGCCATTGATAGTCTCCGCTTGTCTATCAGAAGTCTTCTCGACGGCGAAGGACAGGTGCCGCTCGGCCCGGGGAAATCTGTAGAGTCAAGCAAAGTAGTCATCGCCTTGTGCGACAAGAGACAGTGCCGACCGCTACGTAATGTGATCAAGTACTCCGTAGACTTACATTGTATCCTGCGCTGCGACACTCGTCCAGAACAGGCTTGACCCCAACGGCTTCGAAGAACAACTGGAACCGGGGAGTTAGTAAGGAAACGAACTGTTGAAAGGGATGGTGTCTCATGCGGAAAGAATATAGTTGAAGTCGAACGCCTAGCTAGCACGCTTCGTCTGTCTGTACCTTGAGAGGGGCAGAAAATGCTGGGTCTTCGTAGACCATTGCTTGCGCACAAAAGCCCATCAAAACCTGTCCCATGACCGTAGTCACTGAGGCCGAGGCTAAGGTACACGGCGAACTGACGTTATATTGGTTGAAAGCCCGGCGAGAACGTGGATGCGCATTGCGTTAATATCACAGGCTTGCATTTGAAAAAATATGTAGTCAAGAATTTCTCAACTTAGATCACCAGAAAAGTCGGCATTTATGAGTATTAAAAAGACAAATCGCTTACACCCGCGGTCAAAGCTTTTGCAGCGCGGGGCACAGCGGGCGGGAGGGACATATCCGATGATGGACAGGTGTTGGTGGATAGCCTGGAGTTCGATGCGTGTCCCTCCCGCCCGCGTGCTCCCGATCGTTGCCAGGACGACTTTTGCACTCGACTTTTGCGCAACGAAAGAGATTGGCTGGGCGCATAGGGTGGACGACTGTTACCATAGTGACACTTGACGGATGGGACGATGGGGGTCTTCGGGAGAGGACGGGAAAAACGGGTAGGGTCCACGAGAGGGCAGAATTTGCGCACAACATGGACGGGACGAACGGGGCATTTGTCATGCCCACCTCTCTCTGTCCAAGTCTCCAGTCCCAGAAGATGACTCCGCAGGCCGTCGGGCCCAGAAGCCTTTTCTCGAAACAGGATGGTGGACTCCTTTCTCACGAATCGGACGTGGACCACGTTTCGAAGTACGGATACACGATTCTGTCTGTCTGCGGGAGTTGAAGGAATAGTCGACGAGTGACGTTGGATGAGGCGGGTACGTATCTAGCAGGGATCCACCGAAAGAGAGCCAGCGCACTGTGTCGGGTGAAACGGTTTGAGAACATTCGGCCAATGGTGTGGGACATGACCTGTAAAGAGCTCGCTGATTCGTCAATGAAAGCTGCAATCAATTAAACGCGACCCCGCTGATGGAGACGTGTCAGACGCGTCAGGCGCGTGCGGCTCGCGACGACGCGCCGACCGCATCGCAAAGTTTCGCAACGGGCACCGCCCACCTCTCTTTCGAGTCTGAACGAGGACGTTTTGTGCTTTCTTTCAAAGTCGTTTGTGGCGCAATGCCCTACTGGTTGGGTCACGGCGGCAATCGCGGGATTCCTTGTCCTTTCCTCGGTGTAGTCGTTCTCCTTCACCGCTCACCTACCGCTCTCACCTTTATGCAAGTGCTGAAGCCGGCTGAAGCTAGATCCGATGGTTCGGTCAATCTTTGACGATTCTGAATCTGGCGTTGCGTACTTGGGCTAGAGAAAGCCATCGATTGACCTTTTGCTGGGACTTCCGATTTCGCTTTCCGACAGCCGTTGAGAGCGAGTGGGAGACTGAGAGAGCGCCCTTGTCGCAATCGCGAAAGTTGGAAGAGGCGGGGCTTGATAGAGCGGGTTTACCCACGTTTCTGATGCAAGCCATTAAAGACAGCCCCTCTTTGTGTCCAGGGCGCCTGGCATGCGGAGCTCGACGGGAAGTCGAACCCATGTGGTGGTGCGCCGCTCATCGTCACAACGTGAGGTTGAAAGCCACCACCACTAAGAATACCATCACCACACCGCCATCTCACGCGCTCATGGAAAAACCCCGTGGCTATCCTGAGGATGGTCTCGCATCACAGAGTTGGGGGTCATGAGATCGTTTGACGGTGACATGAGAGGCTGGCGTTTCGGAAGCAATGTACCGACTTTCATGGCCCAGAGCATCCTCGAGTCATGCGTCATACCTTACAAGGGAGGCTTCGGGCACAGTATGTGTGACTGAGTATTTCGTCGTCTAGCAGGTACTCTGTACAGCGTACCATACGACGCAGAACAAACTTCAGGAGGAATCCGGTAGGCCTCTCAAGATTTGATTGCGACCTTCGAAGCCGGGAGAAGGTGGTATCCGGAATTAGAGAGATATGATGTAGTTGGGGTCCGATCGGAACATGTGGCCAAAGACGTCGAGTATGGCTCCCACGGATCGCTCGAATCGAGACCTGGAGAATGTGACGGCAGCTGGCCGGAGCACAGACGGAAGCCGCTGAAGCCCCAAGCCCAGTTTCTTTGTGCATTCCTGACTCCTCGGCAGTCTCTAAATGGAGGTGGTGAATGGTGATTGCTAATTGGTAAGTGGCATGGAATGAGCAGCACGTTTTCCCTCCACAGCCTGGCTGAGGGGGCACAAGCGTATAGACCTTCGGATACTCTCGATGGCAATCATCTACAGTCATTTGCCCATCTTCAATGCAAAACTTTGAAGCAATCGCAGCAACCTAGGACAGGCGTGAGGGCGGATGAAGTCTCGATTGACAGTAGGCAATCTTGCAGGGCCAAATCGATTGCAAGTCTGTCGGTGTTAGAAACAATAGGCGCCTCGAAAGTCGAAGAGTGTGGAAGCCCTGACTCGAACTAGGCTCTACAGAGACTGCTATGTTGGTCGGCCGTCCGTGTGTCCCATTGTGTGGGAGTTTGACAGAAGGGAGGGCGCGAGCCGCGGCTCCTTAGCGATAAAGTCTGAGCGAACGCAGTAAGCCAAAAGGGGAAGGGTAGGTTTTCTCTACATTCTTACGCCTCCCAATAGAACGGGGAGTCTAAGCTGAGGTAGATGGGTGTCATGAGCCTTGTGAGTGAGGATATCTCGCATGTCTTGCAGGTTTGCTCTCGGCCGGAGAAGCCCAGGGAGATGGATGCTGTCTGATCGTTAATGGACTCAAAGGTTGTTAATTGGGCAAAGGAGGGGATGGGGGCGAGATGAAGCAGAGACAATAAAGATGAATGGTCTTGTGCCTTAGTCTTACGATCACCCTGCATGAACCGGAGGAGAGACACTTCGAAGTAGAGACGGAGAAGGGGGTAAGATTGACGAGACAAATAGGAAGAAGCAAGGAGCAGCAAAAGAGCCGGCAGGACAGAGTATTGCCTTTAATCGGGAGCAGGTGTGACAAGAGATCAGAGTCGCAAAAAACGAAAGGGCTAAGAAGGGGGAGGGGGGATCGATGGTGAGTTTCTTTGCTATTGCGAGTTGACCCTTGCAGATGGGCGAGGGACGATGGTGCAGGCCCGAAGGTGAGAGGGGAGCTACTGCAGGTCGGTGAGGGACGGAAGAAAGAGGTGTGGGAGGGAGGGTGATGGTTGAAAGGGAAGAAGCAACGCTGCCGTCCCAGACTCGAGGTATCGCCCGAGGCGGTTGAGACACGCAAGATGGGCCCTACGAGACAGGTTGGGAGAAGTCGCGATGGCGTACCTATTCGCGTGGCCTGGGCAGCTATTCGTCCATGAGGGCTACCTCGACCGTACCACCAGTCCTGATGGTGTGTATGTACGGATACTGCAGACTGTTTCGGGTGCTTCCATCATCATCATCACCACCGCCATCAACCGCATACCAGTTGCCTCGTGTCTTTTAGGGCTAGGTATTACTGATGTACGAAGTACGGATGCCATGGATTGCTTACCTCATGTCTTGGAGGTATGGAAGATACGTTACCTCATGCCAGAACCCAAGGCAGGTAAAAATTATATGACATAGGGTAGGTACCTATGACATTGACGTTGGACAGAGGAAAGAAAGAGCGACGCGACGGAAGGGTCGGTCTGAATGAAAAGCTCAGACCCCTCTTGCTTCCCACTTCCATTAAAATCCCTGGCAAAAGCGGTACGTACCGGACAGTGAAAGAGCTGCGCATCGGGACACAGGTTGCTGGGCCTTTTCCAAGCACTGTGATACCCACTCCAGAGCGACCACGACCCAAAGTACTTGCAGCAGCATGCAGTTTGCGCGCCCACACCCCAGGGCCCCAGTGCCCCAGCCAGTGGACGGACCCTTGTCAGATGGTCCACTCTTGACTCCAGCGCACTAAGAAAGCCCATTTTCGCCCTTGCCAGACATATTAGTCCTCCCCCCAAGGGCCCATGAGCCTTTCAGTCCTCCGCCATCCCATCTGCCACCTGCCACTCTGCCGCCATCCAGGTCCCAGCCAGCTAAACTACCTACACTTCCCCTTCCTTCCACCCTCCCGTCTCCCGTCCAAACTTCCTCACCGACACACCACAACTCTCGCACACATTATTGCTTCACCCGCATTCCTCTCCCTCATTGCAGAAAACAAGACGACCCTGTGATTCAATATTGAAACACTCGTCACCCTAATATCCTCGCCCTTAAGACCCCTTCGCCCGCCCCCTACAGTCCACCGGCGCATTCCAAGCCTCCTCGCTTTCTCTCCCGTCGCATACTCGCGCACAGTCGCAAAAGTCTTTCCGTCGCATACCAATCAACCTCACCAACTCGTCATCGCATCGCTCCCATCGCGCGACACCCAATAACCCACGAGCGCATACTTCGACCACCCATCAAATCCCTCAAGATGCTCATGCCATCCGCCTTCTCATGCGACACGTCGCAGCCGCCCCTCACCCGCCTCCAGGCATCTCTCTTCGCATCGCCTCCCTCCAGCCCTCCCACGCTGTCAACCAGCAGCGGCTTCGGCCACATCTTGGACAGCTGCCGCTCCCTCCAAGCCCTCCTTTCATCGCCTCAGCACCATAATATCCCCAGCGCCGCTCTCTCGTATGACGCGCAGCAACAATACCTCCCCACGCCATCCCAGCTTCCTACGCCGCCTCTCGCCCACGCGCCTGCTCCTCACAAGCTGCGCTTGCGCTCGCGCGCAAAGCAAGATGGCGCCATCAACAACGATCACCTCCCACGCAAGCGCATCGCAAAGCGCGCGCCGCCACGAGGTGTGAACAAGCGCCGCCGCGCGGCAGATGACGAGACGGGTCGCGAAGATGGCCTCCTTACGGACGAGGACGTTGAGAGCGACCTCGATATCTCATCTCAGCGTCAGTCCTTCGAAGCCACCAACGACAACCTCATCCCGTCCAACCCATCCACACCCAAACGCGCGCGCATCGCACCAGAGGTGATCCCTCTCGGCCTCGAGCGCTCCGACTACCACACATTGCACCTCCTCAACGGCGACGGTGTGAACATGAACCACAACAGCATGGTGGCCGAAGACACACAGAACGTCGAGGTCGAGGCCGATGGAGAGCGGTGGAACGTCGAGGAGGATAGGATGCTCGTTGAGCTCGTGCTGGAGAAGCTGAAGCTCTCCAAGACGGAATGGCAGGACTGCGCGCGCAGTCTGGGCAAAGACCGGAACTGTCTATCACGGCGATGGAAGAGCCTCATGGTGCAGGGCGACGTCGGCCTCAAGGGACCTCGGAGGAGTAGCCGCAGGGCTAATCTCCACGGTACCTGGCGGTGATTGACTCCGATTCTGGCGTCATCGTCGATAGTTTGATTTTCATTTGTCTTGGTGTTCGAATTTGGCGTTTACAAGTGCCCAACGGTTAGAGCCCGGAAACGGCTTTTATGGGACATTTTTAGGAGCGGTTGTTCAGCGCCTCATCTCGCGCTTGATCTCGAGCTTGGAACTAGCTTTTGAGTTGGAATATGTTGGTTTCTTTACCTCCTCTTCTCACGTGTGCTGCGTCACTCGAGAGCACACCTTATCTACCAGAATAGGTCGTCGGAATCTCAATGAGCGAGATATCCTGTCGCCTTATGCGCCTTATTACAGAGAGGCCCAAATACAAGAACTAAGATACACTCAAAACCTTGACGCACTTTACATTCCTGTGACATGGGTCCGCTACGATAGAGATGGAAGTCTATCTTACATCATTTACATGATGTGCAATGAGCCCGCTGCCCTCTGGGTGATATCACGAACGCCATATATTAGTCTCACACATGCAGCCGTGACGTCCAAGTCCGCATGCGTATGTCTGTCACGTACGTCCTTGCCGGCTGCCACCATCGCATTCCTGTCCAAGGTAGATGGGAAGGAGTTTCGACGAAAAGAGCCTCTTGTCGGGGACTAACCTTACGACTACACTAGCTACCCGTTCTGTCTTGTCGCACTTGGAGCTGTCAAAGGAGCTGTCACGTTAAGCCCCGCGCCGTTGGCTTGTGGTCGCTCAGACGGCGCTCAGCTTTCAATGTTCTCTGGTACGCTCCGCTCTGGCACCATACTATCCGTACCTAACTTTGATGCCAGACCCTCTTCACGCGACAGGTTGGAATACAATATTGCCAGTCGCGCAACGCGCTGTTGCGCAGCTTCTTCTGTCATTCCCTCCCCCGGTTCCCCCGCCCTCGCCCCAGCCTCCCTTTCCGCATTACTACTATCGCCAGGTACGGATACAGATTGCGATAGTTGTTTTCGGTAGCGCAGTGGATCTTCCCGCCCTGTGTCGTGATCGTTGCTCCAAGGCATGGTGGCAGGTGGGTGGCTGGTTTGCGTGTTGGGGGAGGGGGGGGGACCTAGCGCTTTCCCCCGCCATTCCCAAGTCACAAACCCTATCCGTCCGGATGCGGCGCTCTCTCTTTCTCTCACTCTCATCTCTCACTCAGTCTCGCTTCTCCAGGACGTTCATTACCTTACCTTGGCCACCTCAACAACAATCCGCACACTTACAAACGGGCTCTAACTTCACTCTCTAACCCTGAGACAAGAAGACCAACATGTCAGGACAAACAGCGACTGGAAGCAGGAATCAGTAGCGATCGCAGGGACGCAAGGGGTGGCTGGTGTTATCGATAGTTATCCCGTTCCTGAACATCCTGCCCGGGGGTGTGGCCTGTACGGCGTACTCGACCGAACCAACCACCGCGTCCCCAACCTCTGAAACGAGCCCAGATGAACTCTTTTTTCAGGGCAAGGGAACAGGGTGTGGGAAGGGTTCGGGCGGGATGGGATACTGATACTGATAGTGCGAACCCTTCCCCCCGCCGTCCCCCTCCATCCGCGCCAGCTGAACCTATCGGCTTGACGATGTGCCTGAATCGGCCGTGGGGTGCCCCCTCCCAAAGGCCTGGACGGCTGGCCTGGGGCCCTGGGATGGCCTTTTCTGGGGGGCAGGCAGGCACCCCGTCACCCTATTCATCTTTTCTGGCCGCCTGGTGGGCTATTACGTGACCTCGAGCGTTATAGCTGAATTTGAGTCGAGTCTGGTCGAGTCCGAGTAAGACGAGAGCGGGAAGTGTGACTAGTCAAAGATTGAGGTCGTTTATTTCACGACCGAGCGTGTGAGCGAGCAATTGTCTGAGTGACGAAATGAGTGAGCAGTACGGAGTATGATACGTGTATACAAGCGTGTAAGTCCAACTTCACCATCAACTCAAATCACGTTCTCTCTCAACCTCGCCATACCTCGGCAATCCCGCACTTGGAAACGCGCATCATGATAACCAAGATAAACATCTCTCCAACATTGTCTCAACTCTCAAATCGCAGGCTACTTTCTTCTTCCTTCACTTACATCACATCTCATCTCACACACGCCCCCAAACGCGATCTTGCTCAACTATGCTAGTAGTAGCAGAGTACCTTAGCTCGCGAGGTACCTTGGATCTTCTGCCCACTCCTCAGCAAGCCCTACTCTATCATCTACGGGATACATGGTCGCACAGAAGAAGAAGAAGAAAAAAGAAACTTCAAGAAGTAGAGTACAGCACAGCTCGAGATGTGAATGCAAATGCAAAGAGGGAGCTTTTCTCACCAGGGTTAGCATCACACGTATGCATGTCTCGCGAATCCGGGGTGAAGCGCAGCAGCAGCAGCGTCAATCATCACCCGCGTCCTGGGAATCCTCGCAATCTTCCGGCCAAAGAGTACCTAATAACTGAAAAGAAAAGAAAAAGCAATACTCCTTCGGCGACGAGGCCGACGCCGCCGCCGAAAAGCGCGAACCCTCAAGGTCACGACTCGTAGTCCGCCCACGCCCCCCTCCAAAGGTAAACATGATCGATACAGTGCAAGATACTCCGTACCTCATGTCTTATACGCCGGCCATCGCGTCCGACGATCCAAGGGATGACTGAGACATTTGCTCTTGTCCACCACACCTCCCCCGTCTGTCTCTTTGGCTAGTGCGCTTCAAGTCAGGAACCAACAGGAACCAACAGTATTGCGTGAGTAGTGCACTTAGTCAGGTACGAACACGCGCCTGTGGCATATCCTTCTCCCTGCGTTATCGATCAGCTCCCTCTCCCGACCCATTATCGCGGTTTGCCCTGGTCTGTAGTGATGCACTAGTTTGGCATCATCTTTCGACCGAGGCTCTCCAAGGGGGCAAGGGGGACGCGGTACCCGCGTCAGGGTCGCGTGATGGACTCATCTCCATCTGTATAGTCACTCTGTTCGGAGTATAGCCAGTCTATTGAATTTTTCAGCAGCCATCGTCAAGGAGGCAAGAGGAAGTCCAAGTCGAGTTGCCCTTAGACCCTCGCCTCCACATCGTCACGACCTTTTATCGATTCGACACCCATCGGTCTGTGTTTGTCTCACGCGGTTGGGAACCACTCCTTATTGAATAAACTACGCAGAGACCAACACTTGCGTCTCGCGTTTGAATTTCAAGGGGCTATGGATCTCGCAAGCTATGGAAAAAGGTAAACGAACGATCATGTTCCCGAAAACCACCAAGCCGTGCTCTATCCTCCCTCTCGAGGCCGTCACAACTGCCACGCAATGCTGAGCCATCATGTTTTTGTCGTCAAGTCGTCATAGCAAGTTTCGCAGTTCCAATTTGACACTCTGACCGCGCGCAAACTCCAGGTTCAAAGTTGCTCGGGATGCTGCGTCTAATCCTCGTAAACCTCCTCGTACGCCTCCTCGTACTCTTCTCTGGCCTCCTCGAGGCGCTCGTGGTCGCTGCTGCTGGCGTCCGAGTCCGCGGCGTCGGCGAGAGCCTCCTCGTACTCCTCTCTGGCCTTCTGGACCTCCTCACGATCACTGGAAGAGACGGAGGAGCCATCCGCGTCAGTAGCGGGGAGCACGGCAGGAGGCTGGTTGTAGGGGTCCTGGTAGCCTCCGTACTGAGGCTGCGCTGCAGGGGCAGCGGCGGCCTTGTGCTCATCATCAGAGTCGTCTGCGTAGTAATTGTTAGTGGTTTGATCTCAAACAAGAGTGAAGCGCAAATGACACATCGCGAAGCATGTTAAAAGAGGTTGACTTACCAAGGGCGTTAGCAATCAACGCGCCACCAACGGCACCGACAGCGAGACCACCGGCAGCTCCAAGGAGCATACCGCTGCTGCTGCTCTTCTTCTCCTTGTCCTTGGTGCCGTACGGGTTCTGGCCCTGCTGCTGAGCGTACGGGTCCTGGCCGTAGGGAGCTTGGCCGTAGGGAGCGGGAGCGCCGCCGTACTGAGGCTGGCCATAGGGGGCGGGAGAACCACCGTAGCTGGGGTTGCCTCCGTAGGGAGCGGGAGCACCGCCGTACTGGGGAGCGGGTGAGCCGTAGCCGTGACCCTGGTCGCCGAAGCCTCGAGTGTCGGAGGAAGGGTGGGGGGGAACGGGAGGCGGGGCGTAGGAGGAGCCGCCCTGGCCACCGGTAGGAGGGGACGGGTGCTCCCACTGGGAACGGCCGGTGCTCTGGTCGACATAGAACCAGCGATTGTTGTTGGTGTCCCACTGGACCAACCAGCCGCTGGAGACGGAAGGAGCGGCCATGGGGGGCGCGGCAGACTGGGGAGCCGGAGGCGGCGTCTGGGCGTAGCTGGGCTGGCCGCCGTAACCGTGGTCCGGGCCCGATTGAGGCTGTGCCTGCGAGGGGTAAGGGTAGTTGGAGGGAGGAGCGCCGCTACCGTAGCCGCCGTATTGTTGCTGCTGCGGGTGATCACCGAAGCCGCGTTCGCCTGGTTCAATAGAAGCGCGAGTCAGTAACCTTAACGCAACGACGATGGTACTCCGTAGATCTGTTGGGATCTAGACGATATCGGGAGGTCGAGAAGACAGATGATGGTTCGGTCAAGGGAAGACGATGAAATAGGCAGGGTTATAGTGACAAGGTATGAGGGACGTGTACATGATTTATGACTGTTCAACAAAAACAAATCTGGAGACTTTGTCCTCTTTCCCCTCGTTTGTTTGGTGCAACAGGCAGTAAGAGGAGAGATTGACGGGGGGAAATATCTTTCTACTCACCGGTCTGAGGCTGCTGGTGCTGTTGCTGTTGCTGTTGCTGTTGCTGTTGCTGTTGCTGCTGCTGGTACTGTTGCTGCTGATCGTCCTTCTTCTCGGCAGGCTTGTCGTCGGAGAAGGAGGTTTTGAGCTCCTCAAACTCCTTGGTGAGCTTCTTGAAGAAAGACATGGTTACTCCTTCGGTTCGGTTGTTCGGTTAGGCTGTCAGGTAGTAGAGCAAGGTTGGTAGACTTGGTACGGAGTATCTCTCAGGTAACGCAAGTGGGATATCCGTATGTGAGGTGAGTTGGTGTAAGGTAAGGTAGGAACAGCGCAGAGCTGAGAGAGAGGGACGGAAGAGACGGCAGAAAGCCGAGAAAAGAGCTGCGAGAGGGGCAATAACGTGTTTGAACAGCGTGGCACGCTTCGTCAGCCCTTTTCCTTTTTATTCTGATGGGCGGTCAAGGAGGGAGCCCTTGGAGATGAGCAGTATCCGTAAGGTATGGAGTAAAGGTAGAGAAAGAGGAGATGCGGCGGGCGGGCAACGGGAAGGTTCCAAGCGAGGAAAGCGGGATGGGGAAGCCAAGGAGATTTGACGAGATGGGCGCCCGGTCGGGTTGGTAGGCGGTCCACGCAAGATGCCTTTGGTGTCCTCGGACAAGACTTTGGGGCACTTGTACTGCAGTGTCTGCGGAGGGCGACAGCGGTACGAGTGGATCACCGGATGCTTCGCAGGTTAATTCTGGGGTGCGAGACGTGGGCGTGGGTTTTGGGCGTGCGGGCGGGCGCGTGAATAAGTGTGTGAGGCGTCTCTACGAATACCTGTAAGCCCGTAATACCTGAGGTAAGGCAGGTGAAGTCGGGTGTGAGGTGAATGAGGTGCTCCTGCCTGCCCTGGTGCGGCGTGCTTGTATGAGGGCTCCGATGGGTTCCCTCCCGGCGCAGATTATCCAGCGAGCCGAGCTTCGAAGACAACCCGACCTTTGACACCTCACACCTCACACCTCATACCCGACCTCACACATCAATCATCAGGCCGCAGACCAAAGATTGGGCCAGTGAGGGAAGGAACGGGCCGTTGATCGTTGGACGAAAGCTGCCTGCCCCGTCGCAGCTCAGGGGGGGTACGGAGTACGGAGTGTCTGCTTCAGGATCCCTCCCATTTTCACCTCAGACTTTGGACGAGAGTCACAGTGATCCATGAGTGATTCAGTGAATGAAAACAACCGCCCTGGAGTTTATTTGGCTGAGGCCGCCGGGTGATCGTAACGGCTCGATGAGGTTTCAATTCACTCGGCTCCATCTGCCGTCTATCCGAATCTGGTCTGGTAGGAGGCCTCAAGCTAACGATTTATCTCCTGGAATACTGAGTATTTTACTTGTTAGTAGCTGCAATTCCATGTACGACTACTCCGTAGACTGGCCATCTTCCGTACTTCGTATCGTGATACGTATCGTGATGCGGGCCATGTTGCCAGGTACGGTGGATGAGGTGCTCGCTGGCGGGGAAGTAAGAGGACCACGGAGATCGCATTGTGGCAAGTGCCAGGTGAGAGTCTGAGAGAGAGGAGGGTATCTGGAGAAACACCTGATTGAGCGAGACAAGTGATTGGCACACATCTGCTGCAGAGCTCTGCAGACCTGGCCTGGTAGGGCGGGCGCCAGGCCAGGGGTCCAACATGGGGCTCCGTCGGCCCCTACCTTATCCTGAGGTCCCAGAGCTCTCAGTGTGAGTTGAGGTACCAAGGTAGAGAGAGTACCTACGGAGTAGAGATAGGCAGATCACCAAGTCATGACATGTGCGTGTATATGTGGGTGGGTAAGTGAGATCAGGCTGATCAGCAGCAGGAGGTGAAGTGGCAGGCCAGAGAAACATAAACATGAAGCACGTCTCGAACTCGACCTGTTGCTGACTTTGCTCCTGCCGCCTACCGCTGCGCGCCACCGTGCCTGCTTGCTACCCTTAGGTAAGTTGCTCCTGAAGCTGCGCCGCCTCGCCGCACCCGCGCTCCGCCCTGTCCGCCGCTCTCCACCCGACCGGTTTAAACATGGCGTTTCCGGACCCCAATCTGGCCTAGCTTATACCGGAACTAAGGTAAAAGGCCCTCCCACCTGAAGCTCTCTTCCCTGCAAATCGAAGGTTCTACCCTATTAGTTAACGTGCCAAAGAGAAAAACGGTTGGATCTAACCGCCTATGGCAAAAATACCAGCAAAAAAGCTAAAGAAAGAGGTGTCACCGTGTCATGTCTTTCCTTGGACCTTGCCTTTTTACTTTAATGCCACCTCTTTGCATATACCGACCGTCTTGGACGTCTTCATAAACGCATCTGCAGGATGCAGAATCGCCTTGCTTGTACAGATACGGGGGGTAATACCATGCAAAGGAAATAATCGAGTGGGCTGACTTGCTGATTCTGCAGGTAAACAAGTCAGAGAAGAAAGAAAGAAGAAAGAAAAACGAGTCATATGGCTCTTGTGTGGTATCAAACCACAGCCACATTGATGAATCAAAACATCGTCTTTCAATCAAAACGAGGAAACCGCATGAGCATCGCCCTCCTTTATGTCTGCTGCGGCCTGTTTTTTCTATGACTGACCAGATGGTGGGTTTTCAGGGGTCTGGTGCCCCCATCTTCTCAGAGGAAGAAAGAACAACAGTGTATCAGTGCCTCATCCAGGTCCCCCCGTTCGTGCCGTTCCAACGGGCTCGGCAATGGATCTTGAGAGTCACCACCACCCACCGGGTGAGTGTGAGACTGCCCATTTGTTCGCCAAACCGCCGTGCCGAACTTGAGGAGCTGAGGAGCTGCAGATGTCCTAACGCTTTTGGACGGTGGACGCGTACGCTTGCCAAGAGGGAAGGAAAACCTTGGCTTCTTGGCTCTGCGGTCTTTTGGTGCCGTCATATCCACCCCAGAGCCTTGTCCCGTTCAAAGACGGCGCAAGGAAAAAAAAACACACAAAACACATAACACGGTGATTCACTACTAACACAATCGGTATGACCGTTGAACGAAAAAAAGATTGGTACCGCCGCACCGGTGGCTTCTCTTTCCACATCCGGTCTCCATGGGCGGGATACCGAAATTGTACAGCCACCAAACGGTTTATATTTGTACAAAACCAGCGAGCGATCTAAGTCCTGACTCTGAGAACATATACGGACACTATCGAATTAAACAACCAGTGGTGGTCATCCCCCCTGCTCCCCTGCTCCCCTGCTCCCCTGCTCCGCCCTATCAACTTGTGCAACGGCGACTCCCTATCCCATGTGTGAATGCCCAGAAACTTTACCACCAGATGCCACTGCCGAGAGCCCGGCATCCCGGCCGAGACCCTCTTTTTCTTTTTGGTTGCTCGTCGTCGCTCCAACTTCTTTCGCTCCTTCCGTTGAGTGCTGACATCCCCGGTCCCCTCCTCTTTGTGGTTTACGGATACCTTGCCTTACCTGACTGGCATTGGACCATCAGCCACATGGCTGGCATTGGGTTGATGCGACTGGAACCAATACTGGAACTGGAACCCTTTGCGTGCGAACAGCGATCCGCGGGCCCGAGAACAGGACCCTTTTTTAAGGAGACACAAGGGGGGACCATCCATGATCCAACCAAGATACGGTTGGACCAAATGAGAACATAATGAGCAGAAGGGGGCGCACACGGGGAGGACGAGAAGGGACCCTTCCAGGTTGAGTGAACCCTATCCGCGTTATTCACTGGCAAGACTGGGTTCCCGGCATGTCCAAGGATGGACGGCAAATGTCTGAGGCGTAGCGTTTCTTGGTGCGAATGGGTTAGATGGGTATTCCGTACGGATATACCGTATCTTACACGTAACGCGCGTGTACTATGTGTAGCTGTCAGCGAATCGCCGGACACATGAACCCGGGAGCGAGCGAGCAAGACCAAGAGAGAGCCACTCAATCAGTTCACTCTGAGCCTCTGAGCCTCTGAGGTTGTGTCCTGCGCCTCGACGAGGTATGATCCCAGCAGCACCACCTGGAATAAACATTGGGATTGGATTGTGACCGACGGGGAGACATAACCCACGCCCCATCTCATCTCATCTCACCTATCCCACACCTACTTACTTCTTTCCTTCCTTCACATCCCACGCACCACTTCCGCGCACCCCTTGCACCTTGCACCTTTCAACTTGCAACCTTCACTCTCTTTCCTCAATTTTTTCCATTCCTCACTTTTTGCGCCGCCATTCGCAAATCGTCAATTTCTTCCTTTCGTCGATAATCAAAAACCTTCCTAATCAACAAGCCAACATGTCTCAATACCCTCCCCAGCAGCAGTAAGTTCTCCCAACACTCATCACCTTTTGCGCGCCCGCCGCGCGCACCTTCCTTCCTCACTCGGATGGCCTGGCTGGGGCTGGCTGGACCAGTAAAACCAGCCTCACCTTCCCAATCCTCACGAGAACCCTCAAAAACTGACAACTCCTCTTCTTCAAGGCCCTACTACGGCTCTCCCCCGCCTCCCCAGGGCGGCTACCCTCCCCAGGGCTACCCTCCTCCCGGCCAGCAGCCCGTAAGTTTTCCAATCCAAACACCGACCGTCATCGAATGGGAGAGACATGGACATCGTCTCATCCTCGGTTCGCAAATAGCCTGATAACTGACTCGCACTGCTTGTAGATGTACTACCCTCCCCAGGGCCAGGCTCCCCCTCCCCAGGAGGAGAAGAAGGATGACAAGGGCTGCCTCTACGGCTGGTAAGTCCCACCTCCATCCAGCCTTGCGACCATCACGCGCGCGCGCAAGACATACCCTACAAGACAAAATACTGACCACACAAAAAAAACAGCATCGCCACTCTCTGCTGCTGCTGGCTCTGCGGAGAGACCTGCGAGTGCTGCCTCGAGTGCCTGACCTGCTGCTTCTAATCCACCACACGAGAGCACGCACAAGCACACGTGTAACACGCCAAGCAGACGAGGAGATGAAGAAGAAGAAGAAGAAGAAGAAGAAGAGCAACATCCGAACAAAACGATTGATACCGAGTGCGACCAAAGCAACAATAACAAACTTACAACATCACAAAGATACCAAACCCCCGAACGCGATAACGGCCTTTATTTGGAGAACGGGAAACGGAATGGGGGAACAGGTGGAACGGGGAGGTTGTTTTAACTCGGCGGAAAGACGGATTGCTTTCTTTTCTTCCTTCCTAACTTCCCCCCTTCTTTGCGATGCGGCTTTCTTTTGCCCCCCATTCACACAACCACATGCTAGTTTGTTCACTCGAGCATTGAGAGACATTCTTGCTCTCACGATTACCCCACATGGCGATTGCGTTTCGCTCATTTGTCGTTTCTGGGATAGGAGGTTTTCGGGCTTTTTACTTGGTGAGGAGGACTTCGACAACGTAAGGAGGGTCACCTCAGTCATTAGCAGAGTAAACACACGAAAAGAACCACCCATCTGTCAAATGTTTTCTGTATCAGACAGGAACCCCCCCCCCCATTGTGAAAATGTGTGAAAGAATCTGTGTCAAAAGCTGTCAATCAATGTCTTGCATTTATTGTGTCATGTGTGTGATTGTGATGTGTATTGCCAAGTCGTTTTCCTCCACTTTCAAAGCACCCATATCCATCCTCTCTCACTGTGCCTTATGAGGAAAGGGTATCAAGGCGGCAGTGTGTGTGCTTTTCCCCTTCCCCCCACCCATTAGACCCAAAATCAAAGAAAGATCGCCCCGCCAAACCGTTTATCGCTGCTGCTGCTGCTGCTGCTGCTCGCGTTTGCAGACTGTTGTTTCTACTTCTTGGGGTCCTTCGGGGCCATGAGCTGGACGAATTCTTGATCTGTTGTGTTTTTGCAAGTGCAATGTCAGCCGCAATCCTCCGAAAGTGATGGTGCTAATTAAAGAAACATTGAGTGGGGGCGGGGTGGCAAGCGAAATGCGAATGGGGTTGGTGATGCAGGGCCATTCCGGTGGGCGAGGGACGCGACGGCCGTAGTGATGCGATCGCGGCATGGGTACGGATTCAGAACTTTGGGGTTGCCTACAATCAATAGAACCGTTGCCGTCGAGATCGGCCCCTCTGATCATCTCCTCAATCTCCTCGTCGGTGGCGCGCTGACCGAGAGACAGCAGCACCTGGCGCAGTTCCGAAGGCGAGACGGAGCCGCTGTTGTCCTTGTCAAAGACCTTGAAGGCTGCGACGAGCTCGGTGTTGGTGTCCGAATCTTTGCTTGACGGCGCGGGTGCCTCGCTCATGAGTTGAAGGAATTCTACACTCGCTGTTAGCCGCGGAGGTTCAGGTATGCTACGGCAAACACCATGGCGACTGTGTTTCCAGTCGCACCACGGCTGAACATGGGGGCGCACCTTCGAAATCAATTCCACCGTCGTTGTTGGGGTCGACCTCGGCGATGAGCTCGTTGACCTCCTTGATGCTGGGGTTCAGACCAAGAGACTGCATGGCAATCTGGAACTCCTCCGCGTTGATGGCGCCTAGAGACGCAACCCTAGTTAGCTGGTTGAGCTGATAATTCAGCGGAAAATGGCAAGCCTGGCAGTTTGGTTCGGTATGGGCAGCGCAAGGCTGTTGTGTGCGTCGAGTCGGGAGTACTGACCGGTGCCATCGCGATCCTGTCAGGGAAGAAACACCACTGTCAGCGAGGAGTTCATCCCAAGGAGAACAATGCACAGCAATGCCATTGTCGGGGTAGGTATGTGGGAGGCAGGGTTCTTGCAACTTACAAAGATGGAAAAGACCTGCTTGTAGTCTTTGTACTGCTCCTCAGTGAGGCCGTAGGGTGGAGGAGCCTACATGGTGATTGAAGTCAAAATGTCAGTCTTGTGATGCCGGCGAGGAGAAAGCCATATCGGAGCTGCGACGTGAGGGGCAGCATCATGGGTCGCGACTGACAACGCACCATTTTTGAGTTTTGCGGGGTCGAGAAACGAGTGTGTGTCGTGGACGGAATAGGTATGTTGACGAAGCTACGGAGAGCTTCCGGGCGATTGGCGATAAGTATAGTTTTATGCGTAGGTCGTTTCGTTTAGGTGATGGCGTGCGACGAGCAAGAAGAATCGTGTGTTGACGTTGGAGTGAAGATTCAAGGCAGGAGGGCAAGGTAGGCAAGGTAATAGGTGGGAGGGGAGAAAAACAAGAGTCGAGGAATGGTAGCCCCTCGTTCTCTCGCCTGGCCTCAGCCTGATTGAATGGTTCTACAATTTTAGTGCTGGGCTACCTTGCTCCCACCTGTTTTTGCTGTGAAGAGCAAGGTACCTGCACATGGATGCCGATGGGCTGGATGCCGATACCGAGAAGCAGCGTGCTATCCCTCTAGCAGCCCTGGCTTGAGACTGAGCTGATGCTGGTTTGCTCCGTCCCTAGCTTCGTATTACTTTATTTTAGTCAGTTGTAGCAACATCAAGCCTGGTCCAGATCCAGTTCCAGGCTGCGACGCCAAAGACCCAAAGTGTGGTAAGGTTGACAGATGTCAGACAGTCGCCAGCTGAACCTGCATCGTTGGTGACATTCTCCTATCAAAGATTTAGGTCCCTTCCCCTCTCACACCAAGAGATAACTACATGCTGTACCTTGGCTGCGAAAAAACTGCCTTACCTAAGATACTGCCATACTGGACATGGTAAGGTAGGTAGATACCCTGTGCACCCTGATCACCGCCAGCATGTGAGGTATGACGCCAGGCTGCCCTACGGCACCATCTAGCGCCTGCGTGGCCTGGGAAAGTCTTGGCATCCGAGTCTATTTCCGCCCGCGGACCTGCAAGCGTACGCGGCCACGTCCACATCGCCATTGCTCAAAAAGGATTAGGTCCTGTCCCGGTGCTTCGAATTGGATTCCGGGCTTGGGGGTGGGTGGCAACATCAGACAGACATGTGTACAAACGATAGGATGCACACTTGCGTAGGTAGAGTTGCAGAGAAGCGCAGCGCAGCGATCCCTCCGCCTTCCGCTCTCTCTTCCCGTCAGACCAGCTCTGGGCACGTCGTCCCTTCTCCTGCTGCCGTCCGCGGGAAGGGGAGGAACTGACAGTCGCTTGGTCTTGGCGGACGATGGGGAGTTTGGCGAACCATAACAGACTATTATGCACCTAGCTAACCCCCTGCTCCATTCAAATAAGGTGGTCTTGGTAGTATATGTCATGATTGGGCATTGACATTGCTGGAGCTGTTGCTGATCGTGGGTTACTGGTGATGTATCGAGTTCACCTCACTTCAACCGGCAATTGGGCTCATCGGCAATGATTTCCTGAGACCTGCATTTCAGCGTGGCTTGGACTTCTTCCTCCCACTGAGCCCAGCGGTAGCCACCATTTGAGTCACGGGCCATCTGTATCAGCCTTGGAGGCATCCCGACTGTTGCTTGTCGTTGGATTTGACCAACGGTGTGTGTGCCTCGCATCCGGAGCCCTCTCACGCTTCGCGGCAGGACCAGGCGACAAGCTCGGCAATCCGTTACGACGTTTGGCTTTGTAGCCCGGAGCAAGACGTGAGAGACTGGGGCTTATCTCGAACACGCGGGAGAAAGTGTAAGAGCAAACCTGAACCTCCCATATTTGTATTGATGATCAGATGATGTGGAACAAGTTTCTGGAACTCCTTCTTTCTCTTTTGGAGGCCGGTGTGAATCCCAGCTGAAAACCCCAAACACTTGCCCAGAAACAGACAAAACGTCGCGCCTTTTGTGCAACTGTAACCGAGGCCTCCTCCCTTTCACCTTTCACCTTCCACCTATTCAGTTCAGTTTCCCCTTACCGCCCCTCCCCTCCCCTCCCCTCCCCTCCCCTCCCCTCCAAGCTCCCCCCTCCAACCCCACCACTCTGACCTCAAGACGTCTCATCCTGGGCTGCCTCGCCCGTTGCCCCTCCATCGGAGCCCATCCCTTTCCCACCTCAACCTAAGTGCTGAGGTACCTAAGCTGCCAAAATCCACGCTTCCCTCCCAGCTCTGATGTGAGCAGGAGCTTCCCGCAGTGCCGCGCTACCGTTCAAAGACCTTGGCAAGGTAGGTACCTGACGGACCCCTCCTCCTGCTGTCCCCAATCCGACCACCCGTTTCTCTGCGCATCGCTCTCGCATCTCACCCAACTGGAACCCCACAATCTTTCTTAACACCCTTCGCATTCCATTCATATCACCTCTTAACCTTCCGAGTCCGAACTTCTGCAGCTCTTCAGACCCTCCTCTGTAGAACTTGCACCTTCCCTGGCTTGCCGGGAAGTCTCCATTCAATAACAAAGGCTTGTTCTGAACACAGCTTATTCGCTCATAGTGGGTTTGCCCCTCACCCCGCCCTTTCCGGGGACACCACCTCATCTCACTCACAACTCAACTCACCTCTGTTCCAGCGAAGCCTGTGTAAACCAAAACACGTCTTGCACAACACTCTTCACCCTGCACAAGCACAGCGTCAATTGACTCGGCAACATGTCTGGCTACCCAGGACAGCACGGCTACGGCGGCGGCGGCGGTGGTTATGGTGGAGGAGGCTATGGTGGCGGACAGCACCAGCAGGGAGGTTATGGAGGTCACCAAGGAGGAGGAGGCGGCGGCGGCGGCTACGGCGGATACCAACCTCCCCCCGGCCCCCCTCCCTCGCACCACGGAGGTTACGGCGGCGGCGGTGGCGGCGGCTACAACCCGCCTCCCGGTCCCCCTCCGGGCCAGGGTGGCTACGGCTATAACCAAGCACCGCCCAACCCGCACCCGGACCAGGGCTACATCGGAAGGTATGCACCCCCTTCCCACCCTCCGCCTCCGGGCCTCGACGTATACGGCTACCCTGTCAATTCCGGACACCAGGGAAGACCCAGTGAGTATCACACGCCTCGCTTCTTCGAGTCTCATGAGTACTGATTCATCTCAGATATGCCAACGGTGAACTCCAACGACTGGGCTCACGGCAACCGAAACGCACCCCCTCCCCCGCCTTCAGGCGCCCAGCAGTTCGGCCACGGCGCCCCCGATGGCTACAGCTTCCAGTACTCCACCTGTCAGGGTAAGAGGAAAGCACTCCTTATCGGCATCAACTACTTTGGCCAGGATGGTGAGCTGCGCGGCTGCATCAACGACGTCAAGAACCTGTCGGCCTTCCTTGTAGAGAAGTATAACTATAAGCGTGAAGACATGGTTGTTCTCACCGATGATCAGCAGCAAGCCATGGGCCAGCCCACGAAGAACAATATCCTCCGAGCCATGCACTGGCTCGTTCAGGGCGCACAGCCCAATGACTCTTTGTTCTTCCACTACTCGGGTCACGGAGGCCAGACTGAGGATCTTGATGGCGATGAAGATGACGGCTTCGATGAAGTCATCTACCCGGTCGACTATAAGGAAGCCGGCCACATTGTCGACGACGAGATGCATCTCGTCATGGTCCGACCCCTCCAGCCCGGCGTGAGACTGACGGCCATCTTTGACTCTTGCCACTCCGGTTCCGCCCTCGACCTGCCCTACATCTACTCCACCAAGGGCGTCCTCAAGGAGCCCAACCTGGCCAAGGAGGCCGGCCAGGGACTGCTCAAGGCATTCTCGGCTTACACCTCGGGCGACCTTGGTGGTGTCGCGAGCTCCATCTTCAGCTTCGGCAAGCGCGCCATCGCCGGCGACGACGCCTATGAAAAGACAAAGGATACGCGCACCTCTCCCGCCGACGTCATCATGTGGTCCGGCAGCAAGGACAGTCAGACATCGTGAGTTTTTATCCATCGTGCTTGGGAGGAGGCAGAGAGAGAGACTTGGAAGATCTAACAACGTTGTTTTCTAGTGCCGACGCTACCATTGCGAACCAAGCCACGGGCGCCATGTCATATGCTTTCATCACGGCTCTTAAGAAGAACCCTCAGCAAAGCTACGTCGAGCTGCTCAACAGCATTCGCGATGTCCTGGAGGAGAAGTACACCCAGCTGCCCCAGCTCTCAAGCAGTCACCCGATCGGTAAGCCGCGTCCCACTACTGTGTTCTTCATGTACATCTTTGAATGTTTGTGCTAATCCTCGTCTAGACACGGATCTTCTCTATGTGATGTAAAATCTTTCGGTTTGACATGGAAGCCACCCCCCAAAAAGCAAGGCACGCAGGAGAGAAAGCAGTGCTTTAAAGCGTAGTAATGACAAAGTCATACAAATGATTCATGATCAACATCGTTTTCCATTTTCTGAAGTGAAAGAAAAAAAAGAGCATTCCATTTCTGATTCTATAACGTCTATTGTGATGGGTATCGTGCTTTTTTGCCTATATACGCCTCTCCGAGGCAGGAGAAGCAAAAAGATGCCTTGGTCGAACGCCCTCCCGTAATTACCGTCCCATCCTGTCAATTCAGGAAAGGCAAACCTCTTTTACCAATGAAATTTCACCAAGCCATGTCCAGTGAAGTGGATGCTCACCGATGCCCAACGCGCTGAGCTCAAGCCAAAAGAAACGAATACCAACCCCTTCCTATGAATCCTCGCCGAAAGGGTCATCGTCAAGAAGATTGAAGACCGGAGTCGTCTTCACCCTCTTGCTCCCTCCGTAGGATCCTCCCAGACGTCCTCCGAGAGAAGGACCATCATCGCCGCAGAGGTCAATAACCTCATCGTCGGCATTATCCTCCATCTGTCTCTTGCGAGGAATCGTGCCGGAAACGGCTCTGTCCCGGCCTCACATTATGAGACCGTGGTGTTAGAGCGCTCGACGTGGCCCTCGCTCCTCCAACCGCGCTGCGCGAACCTGGGGGGCTCTTCTCGTTCATAAGAGATGTGAGCCGTGGATTATCCTGTTCACTCGCGTCGACAAGTCTGCTGAACCGCGACCTGTTCGCAGCAGAGGACGCCGTGCCCGAGCCCACGACATTACCCGACGCCGTCCACACCTCCCATGACGAGCCGGTCCGACGCTTCTTAGAGCGTTCCGCGTCCAAAATCGCCGCCATGTAGTCTGGCTGGTTGCTGCTGCCGGTAGCTGGTGACGGACTGCTTGAGGGGCTTCTAGCTCTGACACCGAGGCCCAGTCGACTTGTGCTGCTGGAGGTACCTCCTGCTAAAGCATTCAGACGTGGTGTAGGCCTAGGCGTAGGGCCACCTAACATGGCATCCAACCGCGGGGTTTTGGAGGGCTCGTTGGGCGTGCTTTGAAGCGACGACGTAGACTCCCCCGTTAAGCCGGCTCGTCTGTTGAACGAAGACACGGGTTCGTTTCTCGAGCCGCCCCCTCCGAACGGGGCCAACGGGTTCCGCGTTCTCGACACGCTGGAATCGAATCTATTGCTGTTGCCGCTTCGAGGTGTCTCTCTTGGCGTCAGACTCTTGTCTAGTTTCGCCCGGAGTCGGGCCGTCGATTCATCGTCAAACTTGGGCGTAGACTCGAGCTTAATCCTGCCCAAGTTCTTGAGTCGATCTCTTGTCGAGGTGCCGTTGGTGGCGGGTATACCATGTTGGCTGCTACTATTTGGAGTAGTTATTGACTTCTCCTTCTTGACGCTCGCGCCAAACATGTCTCTGATATCCCTGTGACCTGACCGCCTAGCTGCTGAAACGCCAGTGGACGAAGGCTCTGGCTTCACAATGCTCGCCATGTCTATGCTCTCAGTCTTGGGCGTTGCCTGATTGTGAACTGCGTTGTCGCGCGAGGGCAAATCGTCTCTGGTTGAAAATCCTTGGTAACTTCTTCGAGGTGGCGAGGAAGAAGCTGAAGGTTCTGCGGCGGTGTTCGTGGGAGGCCCTTGCGACTCGGCATCTCCAAGCTTCCACATAATGTTACCCTTGTCTCCAAGGAACGACAGCAGAACATCTGGGTCAAATTGATGGACAGCTCTGGTTGCCTCCTGTCTCCTCAATGCTCCAGTTGTGCGGATTCTTTCGTTGACAAGCGAAAACTTGACAAGCTGCATCGTCAGACTAGCCTCGTTCTTACCGTATATGGCCATTTTGATGGGTTTATCTTGTTTGTTGAGCTGTTCTTGGATGTGATCCACGATTGCCCTCGGCTTTACTAAGTGAATCGTTTTCCAACTTGGTTGCTCCAAGAAAGAGTCGAGGGTCTTGCAGTGGCGGCAACATTCGGCCATTGGAGGTATCGACCTCGGCTCCCGCTCGATCCGCCCTGAGATATCCTCAAAGACTGCGCTCTCATAGTGCTCAAAGATGGCCTGAAAGAGGCGCTGGTACGCCGACTTATCGGGGTCCACCACGTCCTGGAGAGTCCTGAGCAGTGGTAGCCAAAGAGGTGCCAAATAGATGGGCGCAATCTCGGTAACATGCTGGGCAATGTGGTTTGCGAGATCGGATACTTGATCATCCATACCTAGACGATCAAGGTTTCGGAGTAGTCCAGCGATTATAGTGTGACTCGCCTGGACCGGCTTTGAAAGGCCGTTAAGAAGTTCTTCTGTTGGTTCAGCAACGCACCAAGCCTGCCGAGCAGCCTTTGCTTCAGTGCTTTGCTCTTTGTGGGTATTGCTGACCAAGTTCTCTATCTTCCATAGCGTTCGTGATGCGACTGGCATTCCTGCGTGCCTCTCATAAAACTCGGCAACTTGGTCAAGGGGCAGGTTGTCTCTCTTTGCCACCTCAAAGAGTCTGTTGAACATTCCAAATATGAATTGACTCTGCTTTTGGATGTCTCCAAGTCGGCTCACAGCTTCGTCCATCCTGTCGAGCATTAGTATGCGAAGAAATCAAAGAATGGAAAATGTGCTTACGTGTCTCTCCACTTGCCAAACTCCTTGAACAACTTCAAGAGGTTCACTACGACCCGGCCATGGCTAGCTGAAAGAGGGGCTTCCAGCATTCTGATAGCCATGATCCCCAGTCCCTGGGTGTTTTCGCTCGAAATGTTGGCCTCAGAGCATGCAGGCAGCTTGTCGACTATGCTAGCAAGTTGCAAGAATTTGTTGCCCTCGAACAGAAAATGTCGGAGCCTAAGCTTTTGTTAGTCAAGGTCTGTGATTGGAAATTTTCAACTTACTCAAAAAGAGCATCGGCTGCCGAGTAGCCATAGGAGGTCGCATTTTGGCATATCCAATTGTAGTCTACAATCGGCGCAGATCGGATGTTGGCGACGAGATTCTGGAAAAGCTGATGGTCTTTGAAAACCAGTGAAGTCAAAATGAGGTCACCCATAAGACCGGGGTCGATCTTGTTAATGAGATCTTCACGGTTCGTAAGTCGCAGGCCGAGGATCTGTGTCTCTGATAACTCGTTGCCTCGTTGAGGCCAAACAAAGTGACAAAGAGACCTGAGTGCTCCAAAGTAGAATGCCGACTCTGAAGATCCTTTGCATTGCCGCAGGAGATAGCGCCAGAGGTTTCCAGCAAGCTGGGTCTGATCGGCCATGTTGACAAAGTCTAGTTGTGTTCGGAGAGGTGTAATGATGATTGCCTGTGAATAGTTAGAATGTAATCACAAACACCGTGATGGCTGGTCACCTCGAACTTACCGGTGCCAAGTAATATCCTATATCACCACTAGTGCCTGGGACAATGTTCTGGTACCACTGAGGGTTCGCCTCACGATATCTTCGCTCTTCGTCAAATGCCCGCTCCTCATAGGGCCATCCCCATGAGAAAATTGAACGACGGGCCCTTTCCCAGAGGATGTTCCTCTCATCTAGCACATTGCCCTCATGGCAATCGATGGTTTCGGCAAGCGTGAGCTCATCAAATCTGCCAAAATACCGGATACTGGGTGAGTGGGTGACATGCTGATTGACCTGCCAGAAGCCATTCTGCTCAGGGGCTTGCGACCCGGCGTTGCCGTCTTGCTGGAAGGAAATCCAAGCTTGGTACTGGCAGTGGGCTCCTGTATATTTCATGACCACTGGAAGAACCTCGAATCCTAGCCGAGGGCACAGGTCTATGAGACGAGCCATGAGGGTAGAGTCAGCAGCAGACATGTTCTGCCCCATGACCCAACTCTCGAACTCCACGGCATTTTTCGGGGCGTGGAAGTGGTAGACAGCATATTGACGTGATAGGGATCGGTCCTGAATCCTAGAGTCCCAGTGCTTCAAAACCTCCGAGAGCCGACCGTATGCAGTATCTAGTGCATGACTGGAGGCTGATTGCTGGCGTTGATCTGTTGTAGTGGGATGGCGTTCTGTCTCTGACTTAATCGCGTGGGACGTGTCGGGCCCACCGACCGCGTAAAGAGCCTCGATAGCTTGGTATAGCTCTCCTCTGAGGGCACTACTCAATGGCGCATTGATGCCGTGCAAGATGCCGGGCTTTTGAGGTGCAGGCTCCGGCTCTGACATGACTTTGTTTTCATGTGTCGCATTTGCCGAATCTCTCTGTGACGTGTTTGCGATGAATGAATTAATCTGTAAAGGCAGCTTGCAAGCTAGGTTGAGTGAGTTGGAGTTGAAAGAGTTGATTGGAGTGGGCGCATTGAGAGCCAAAAAGGAAAGGTGCAAAGAGGAAGTCGGCACGTGCGTGGGGTAAGAGGGAAGACCCAGAAAATTACCAGAGCCGGCAGGGGAAGCAGCGTTCCTTGAGGGTGCTGGGCCCACTCCACTATCTGCCCCACTTGAGTCCCCTTCCCCGGCAGTTGACAAGCAAGAAGATGCAGTGCAACAAGCTCTTCTCTGAAAGACTTAAAGACAAGAGCATTAGAATTCTAGAGGCCCACTATCTGGTACTATAGAGACGAAAAAAAGGGTTGTGAGAGATATTTGTGTACGCGTCTAAGAGCCTGTGTTCTAATCGTCTATAGGACATGAAAATCGGGACTCTGAGCTGTGCACAAGTAGAGAGTGCTGTGAAAGCAGAGATCTTGAATAATTAAAAAGCGATGAACAAAAACCATGCTGGAATGATCAAGGATCGGATATGGACCCCGAAATATACCGGAGACTTCACGGCATAACCGGGCTCTGTACAGCTCAGAACCCTTCAAACAAATAGCCCAGTGCTTGGTGGAAGATAAAGATATGAAGCTACTCAAAAGGTAAGGCTCGGGGCGATTTGATCTGATGTCAATCTAACACCTGGAGGAAGGAGCGATCCCAATCTGCGTCGTTCCTCCCAACTCGATCCGTATCTAAGACTGGACCGCATGATCGCGGCTTCCTTGTAGTAACAATAACATGACCTCTTTCAACTATCTTTTTAGCTTGAAATTGGCTCCCGTTATAGGGAGGTGCCCTTTTATAAAGCAAACTCTTACCCATGGGCATTTGAATATCACAGTCAATGTGAGATGCTTTAAGCACGATGCCCTGGTTCTAGTGACATGTTCGCTTCTTTCTTATGAAGAGTTACGACGAATGCTCTAGACAGCAATATGATATGTCCGACAGGAACAAAACTTGGCTATCCCAAATTCACCTCGAGCAAGTTAAAGACTTTTGGTTCTATCATTAACTGCAGACAGCTACAAATCAACTCCAGGGTATAATCACACTTCCGAGGTTTCCCCTCTACGCCATTTTATCCGAACCATCATCCAGTCTTTTCATCAAATCCAAACATCGTAGTCTACAGGCCCTGATGAATAAAACACCAACACTAGGGTAAACTTTGGGATGCTCCCCGTTGCCCCGTTGTCGGGTTGTCGAGGGCGGGCCGAGTCAGCCACCCGTTGTGTCAAGTGGGCCCCAAGGGAACGCCTCTGGCAGAGCCCTTGGAAGACAGCCGCATGGATAGAAAGTCATCCCAACTTGCGTCGCCTTCATCCCGGGTGCGCATTGATGTAGCCGGGAAGGGCGTTGAAAATCGACGAGCTGCGACCATATACCAGACATCTCAACCCGGCGGATATTTCCTATTCTCATTCGCAATCTTTCAGATCTCGAAAGCTCTCTCGCCAAAGCTCCTCCACGCCCAGCTGGAAACGATCCAGCCACCCCAAGCAAAAGCAAGCGACGTGGCAAGCAACACGAGCGCCATCACCACGAGAACATGGCCCCTCAGCTGGAACGCATCGTCCATTTCCATGCGCAGCAGCTTCTTCTGTTTACTGTGATAGTAAAACTCCTCCCGCTCGTCCTTGGGACTCGGCGTCGTTGTCGGTGTCGAAGTCTTTGAATCCTTGGCATCTGCGTAACGGTACTGTGATTTCCGGTAGAGGATGCTGTGCAGCCAGGAAGGCATCCAGCCTTGCCGCCCGTGGTTTCTTGACCTCCTGATTGTGTAGGTGAGGTCTACCCATGCGAGGGAGAGCAGAAAGGAGACGAGGATGATGGGCGTCATTACGACCTGTGGTGGAAATGTGAGCGTCTTGCACCTCGAGCACCGCGATATGCCACCCGAGATACCCAGCTCCGTCCGGAACCACCTCTCCGGCCTCTTTAGAGCAACCATAGGCTTCATAATCCCATAGGTAATTGGGCGCGTGTGAGCTTACCTTGTAAATGGTAGACTGCTGGACGGCTCCAGCGTCACTGCCGCCTCGCGTGGCAGTGACTTTGGTGGCTGTTGTTGATGACGACATTGCCTCCCGATGGCCGAAATACTTACAGAGTCCGTGGGCGATGGACGTCTAGTTGTAAGTGATTTATGAAGCTTGGAATCGGGCCTTCTGGCAATCTGCCAACGACGTTTGGTATTAGAGATGAGGTTGAAAATCAAGATTTCAGAAAAAGGGAGGAACGTCAAAGACGACGGCGTGCGGAGATAGAAATATATCAGTAAGGCAAGGTGAGGTACCTGATCATTGGTAGCTTCGGCGCGGGCGGGCAGCACCACCGCCGTGCTGCCACTATCCGTACTGGGCCTAAATTTATTACCACCGCCTCGGTTTCGGTTGCCAGGTGGTGCGCCTTACCTTACGGCACCTCACCACTCACCTTGCGCGCGCACTGCGGTTGGGATACGGGAGTGACGGAAGGTACCCACTTGGCGCCCATTGGGGATCACTGATCAGCAAGACATCACATCACACTTCTCCCAACACAAGCTAGAGAATTGCAGTGAAAGAAAGCCCCGAAACACACACACACAACTCACGCAGAGCATCGACCGATACCCAATTCGCTCGTGCGGACCCGTGGACACGAGCCCCCAGAGATCCTAGAGCTCTGTTGATCCGGGGTGCCCAGTGCGTGGCTCTGCTCGTTCTAATTCAGCCCTGTGTCCACAGAGGGAGGCCGAGCAAAAGTGCAGAGCCTCGAAGTGCAACGCTAGCGACGCAAGCAATGTCGACGCCTCAATGTCATACGTACCCATAGGAAATACCGTCGCCTCAGCCACAACTGCTCAGTTGTATCGATAATCGACGGCCGTTTCACTCAGCTTCACTTTCGTTTACGTCTCGCTGGTTTCACCTCTAATTGCGATATTTTGGTTGACTCTTGCACCTTTGCTGGCAATTCTTGCAGGAGCATTACATATTTCATGGTATTCATCTATTTTTCCTTTCCAAAATACTGCAAAATTCTATCGAGTGTTGTGGATATCGAGCACCAAAATGTCCTGAGCGCCAACGCGGGTCAAATCGTCCATCACCAGCGCAATCTTCTTCTTCTCAACCATTGAGCTGACGGCGACCCAGCCCTCCTCGTCCAGTGTTGTGATGGTCGGCGCCCGCTTTCCAGGGGTAATCGACTTGGCGTCGGACAGACGTGATCTCTCAATGTTATACTGGCACAGGACGAATCGCTGAGCGGTAATGACACCGCGGATACGGGCGGCGATGAGCTCGATCAACTCGTTGTTTGACGGCGACCGAGACTTGATGAGGCAGGCTTGCGAGTCGACGACGGTGTCAATGGCCTTGAGGCCGGCGGCCCTCATGGTCTCACCAGACTCTGGATGCGGATGTTAGTGCTTGTTTGGATGCTGGCCATTCCAGGACGACTACTCACCAACAAGATCAACGATGCCATCGGCGACGCCCAGCGCACAGGCAGCCTCGACACTTCCACTGAGATCGATAATCTTCGTGCGAAGCTTCTTGGGCGAGGTGTTGCTGTTGCCATCGGCGTCGACGCCCAGCTCCAGCTTGGCAAAGTGCTCAGCCGCCAGGTTGACGAAGCTGGTACCAATGGTCTTGCCAATCAAGTCCTCCGTTGTCGCGTAGGGGCCCTTCTCGGGGACCTGGGTCTGCAGCTTGCAGTGGCCGAAGCCGAGCTCCATGACCATCTCGCAGCCTCCGACCTTTTGAAGCTCCTCGCCCTCGGTATTCAGTTCGACAGAGGCTCTCCGGGCCTTGTTGCTGCTGACGACGCCGGCATCGTGTTCCTTGACCTGGTCCCAGCCTGTGATACCAAGGTCGACGCGGCCCTCGCCGACAAATGTGGGGATATCGGCGGCGGGCAAGAAGATGAGGGCGATGGGGAAGTTCTTGACGAGGGCGATGTCGAGGCGGTTCTCGCGGCGGAACTTGATGTCGGCTCCCTCAAGCAGGTTCAGGGTAGCGGAGTTCAAGCGGCCCTCTGTGGAAAGGAGTCACTGTCAGCATGTGCGCCTTTCGGTTCTGGGATGAACATCATGGTTTGACTCACTCTTGGGCACGGCGAACAGAAGGCGGCCCTCTAGGCTTTGCTTCGTCATTAGCTTCTCTGCGAACTGGTCCATGGCGGTTGCGATGGAGGGGTAAAAACCAACTGGTTGACCAAATCCATGGTAGGCAAAGGTATGTTGCAATGACGCGATCGACAGACGGGAATATAATAGGTGGAGAGAAGTCGTTCCCAGAGTTGAAACGCTTCAAGAGGTTAGGTGGAAACGGTCGGGTCGGGCGCGCGTGTGGAATGGAGCACAAGGTCGCAGTGAAGCCAATGGCGACGAGAATTTCTGCAGCGACAGCGGCGGGGTGGTCGCACAGCACAGGTCGGTGTGGTGTGTTCGGAGTGGTGAGAGTTGAGGCTTGGAAAGCGAGCGTAATTTCGAGTCAATTGGTCTGGGAATCGGGTAATGATATAAGTCGAAGTCTGCGCGACTTTGTTCTTGGTCGTCGCGGAAGCTGTCCGTAGGAGGGGCACTGCACTTGTTCGATTCTGCGGTGAGTCAAAGGCCGGGCCAAGACTTGGAGAGAGAGAGGGCGGAAATTTTGTGTGGTGGATTGGAACCCCGCCGTCTTAGTGTGCGGCAGCAGTCGTCACTCATCACCGCGGGCCACCACCACGTTGGCCTATGTCGGAGCTGCGACTGGTGCAGACTCAGAGCAGAGAGCGTGGATGGCGGGGCACGCCGTTGAACGCGGGGCAGTCCTTGGACCAAGTGACGGCACATGCCGGAGGGGCAGGCGGCACCCGAGCCCGTTCTCACAGCGGGCCCTCGCTGAGGTAAGCTACCTAAGGTATCTTACATTTACCTGCCCGTTCCTATCACAGTTGAAGGGGAGAAGGAGATGTATGTTGATGCACCCAGCTCAGCTTAAGGTACGGCAATGTGTGGTAAACTATGGAATGCGTTGATGAAATTTACCCTCAACAGCACGTGGTCGTGTGTCGCAATTAGGAGAAAGCCAAAGCAACGGTGAGGTAGAAATCGTCTCTAACAAGTTCTGGGTGTGGGCATTGTATGTTCAAGTTGCTCTGCTGGGTAACTGGTAGATCTCAGTCAAGGCATGACTGGCGCATGTGTGATCCAGTCAACCGTGAGCTTGGAAGTCTGAACCGCGTAACTACCTTATCCACCAATGTCAGGCTATGTCCACGCCATGATACTCACAGACCATCTATGTACACCAATACGATGCGTCTTGATAGTTGAACCTGGCTTCTTTAGATGGCCAGAGCTTCCAACGCGAGAAACTCCCCGTGTAAGCTTCGACGTGGCTCCAACTTTCGAGCCAGTTCGCTTTGGTCAACGAGGAATCGGCAAACAATAGAATGAAACCTGAAAGGTAATCCCATTGAACGGAGTGCGAGTGCAGGGCAATCTAAGTTACTTTCCATTGTTTCAAGCCACATTAAATCAAAACTCTTGATACCGCAGGCGTCCTCGTTCCCACCACTTCTGGTGGTCTCCCTAGCGTGAGCTACAAGGTACTCCCTATTTCTACTCCTAAATAGAACGATTGTACAACAATACTTACCTTGCCTCCCAACAAGCCACGCATCCTCATCTATATGAGGAAAGCACAGCACAGCAAGCTGAGATATTGCTTCCCTGGCCGTTGGATTGACGTTTGCTCCCTCTCCTGTTCTTATGCATCTCCCGAGTCTTGGGCTGTCTTGTCCCACCGGACCCCAATCATTTAGGTAGTACCTAATCATTACATTATCCCAAGCTCCCGACTCTGCACAATCCATCAAAGTTGGACTGTGAATGAATGTATTTACCCGCCCTGCCAATTTCGTATTGCATTCCGGCCGCCCAGCTGGCCCCCTACCTGATCATCTCCCCCGTACCTTACGTATCTTAGTCCCTAGATGCGCCTATTCCATGCTGGACCCACCATAGCTCGAAGTTACCACCACTCCTTTCGCCTGCACATCTCGAACCTCCGTTGCATCCATCCCCAAACCGCCAGCAAAGTTGACCCCCGTTGGCTGATCTTCCTTTCACAACCACGGAATTGTGGGTATGACGCGCACCCGGCCCTGATATCCGCAGCGGCCGCGACGCCCGGATTACTTTAAATTTGGTCCTGGTCCACACCTCGAAAACCCCCCTGCCCATACGCAAGCCGCCCGCCCTGCCCTTGGCAGCGCAAGCAGCAGCCTGCAGTACGGAGTGCTGCGCCGGCCCCTTCAAATGGCCCATAAGTCGGCCTCAACGACTTCGTCGCACAGTTCCCCGTCCTCACACCTTCATCCTTCCTCCTCGCTGTACGACCGCGACTTTGACTACGATTACTCGGGCGGCACATCGACACCGATAAGGACGCCCTCTAGATCTTCCAGCAGCAACATCGACGGCGACGACAAGGGCGGCAACGAGCTCGATGACGACGTCGACTTTCCCTTTGCAATCCGCAAACCCCCAGAAGTGCATCGCGAAGGGGACACGAAGCTTCCCGGTCTTGGCAATTTCGCCCGACACCATACGGACAGATTCAAAAGCGGCGAGAGCGACGACACTTACGACTATCCCGAAGACGACGACGCTCTCGTGTTAGAGCAAGATCCCGCAGGGATGTCTAGCTGGGCGGGTCAGCCCTCCATCAGGGGGAGCTCGGAGGCCATGCGAATGGTGCTCTTGACCTTTAATACCCTTGGTATCACGTACGTTTGCTAGCGACAACTGCCAATGGGCCTGCCATGCTGACGTGATTCTGAATGCAGCTTCACGTGGGGAATTGAAATGACATGTACGTCGCTGTGCATCCACTGTCACTGGTCTTTCCATACTAATCCACCCCGACAACAGATTGTACACCATACCTATTGAACCTCGGCCTGACAAAGAGCAACACCTCGCTGGTATGGATCGCGGGACCGTTATCGGGGCTCGTGGTCCAGCCCATTGTAGGAGCCATCGCGGACGAATCCAAGTCGAAATGGGGCAGGCGGCGACCATTCATCGTGGTTGGATCAATTATCGTTGCAATTAGCCTGCTGACCTTGGGGTTCACGAAAGATATTGTCGAGATGTTCGTTTCGGACAAGGAGACGGCGCGAATCTTCACAATTATCCTGGCGGTGTTGGCCATCTACTTTGTGGATTTCGCCATCAATGCTGGTGCGTCTAAACATGCCTGCACCCAAGTCCATCGTTGATTCCCCTGCTGACTTCGGCACAGTAATGTCTTGCGCACGAAGCCTGATCGTCGATACCCTCCCTATTGAGAAGCAACAGACTGGCGCCGCTTGGTGTAAGTGAAGCTCAGACGCGCATCATCACCCCAGGTTGCATCCCGTCCGCTAATCCCCACAAAGCTAGCAGAATGTCCGCGATTGGACACATGCTGGGCTATGGAGCCGGTGCCATCGACCTAGTCGGCATATTTGGAAAGGCAATGGGCGACTCGCAATTCAAGCAGCTCACGCTCATCGCCACTTTCTTGATGCTCTTCTCTTCCGGCGTGACTTGCTGGGCCGTTAACGAGCGGGTCTTGGTGTCGACAAGACACGACCCCCGCAAAGCCACCGGGCGGTTCAAGGTCTTCCGCCAAATTTGGTCGACGCTGCTTCATCTTCCCCCTCGAATCCAGGCCATTTGCTGGGCCCAGTTCTGGTCCTGGATCGGCTGGTTTCCGTTCTTGTTCTACAGCACCACCTGGGTTGGCGAGACGTACTTCCGATACGACGCTCCGGCAGAGGGTAAAGACTCCAAAGATGCCCTGGGCGACATTGGCCGCATCGGCAGTTTGGCGCTGGTCATATACTCGACCATTACCTTCATAGGCGCCTGGCTCCTACCCATGGTGGTCAAATCACCAGACGATGACAACTTCACGGCTCGACCGCCCCAAGCCATTGCGCCATTCCTAGAACGTTTCAACAAGAACAAGCCCGATCTCATGACCGCCTGGATATGCGGCCACCTCATGTTCGCTGCGGCCATGTGCCTGGCCCCCTTTGCACAAAGCTTCCGCTTCGCAACCTTCCTCGTCGCCTCCTGCGGTTTGTCTTGGACAATCGCCATGTGGGCGCCGACGACCTTCCTCGGCGTAGAGGTAAACAAGCTCAGTGGTGCCCGCGAAGGAGGCGGCAGCGGGACGGCAGCCTACCGCCGTCTATCAAACGACTCCAACATTGAGCTGCCCACGCTCGGCCAGGACCAACCACTCCACCTGGAACACGGCCCGGACGAGGGTGGCCAGCAAACGACGTCGTCTACGGGCGAGCTGTCGGGCATCTACTTTGGCATACTCAACATCTACACCACTCTGCCACAATTCATCGGAACCTTCATAAGCACCATTGTCTTCACCATACTAGAGCCGGGCAAGAGTCCCGAGCTTTCAGACGCACCCGAACACGAGCAGCACAACACCGACGGACCCAACGCTATTGCAGTGTGTCTCTTTATCGGTGCCATGTGCGCGGTAGTGGCCGCGTTCGTCACGCGAAAGCTCAAGTATCTTTGAGCCTGATGTACGAGTCGGAAAAGAAGAAATAGCACGCATTTCATTATTGTACGGGCAAAGGTAGCGTAGAGGATATGGGATGGCGTTACGGAAAGGGGAGAGACCATGTTCTCTCGCATTAGATCATGTGTGGGATAAAACATATAGGGCTTTGGTTTCATTTAGGGAATTTCGAGGGGATGGCACATGTCGAGGCTGCCGGCTTTTGCTAGACGCAAGAGACCTATGTTGCTGCACAGCCTCCAGTGAATACACTCGGGGTCATGTATGAATGAGAATATGGGTGGGGTGAATCGCTGTTTCCGTAAGTATTTGTACGTGGAGCTGCTCGCGATGGAGCACGCTACCAAAGCCCTATGTACAAGTCCGGTTCGTACAGTGGTAGCGCATGTGTCGACGCTTGCTCAAGGGTATCTCAAATCTCTCGTCGGGCGGATGCGTCCCGAACATCTGTCTCTTTCTCCCCACAACCCCCCGGTCCCTTCTCGCTCTCCTCCTCCTCCTACATTGAAATATTCTAGTGGTGTGCATCGCTCGACGAGTGGTGTTGGTTAAGCGCATCGTCGTCGTCATGTGTGTTCCGTACGTCGTCGTCGTCGCGCTTCGAGATCAGTTCACTTATCCTTCTCGTTCTCGTTCTCCGAAACCTTCTCCCACTCATCCTCGGTGCTCACGCTCGACTGCGTGCCCCCATTCGTAGCATCTTCAGCCCCAGACTCGGCGGCGGCAGAAACGGCGGTGCGATGCTTCAAGTCGGCCGCTTGCTGCTGCTCCGCAGCTGTCTCAACCTGGCTGCTGCCGCCCACGACGCCCTTCCTCCCGCGAGCGCCACCCCTTACCCCTCCGACAACGGCGCTGCCCTCAACCTCGGTGTCGCTATCATCCGTTCCTTGAGTATTGGCTCCTGCCGCGCTGCCTCCTGCTCCTCCACCGGCGGATGTATCGGTCCCACGCGCCTTCTTGGCCTCTTCCTCTGCGTGCTGTGCCAGCTCGATCACGAACCAGTTGATAGCGTACCAGAGGCCCGCGCTGAGGAAGGAGAGGATGACAAAGTGGATGCTCCAGGTGGCGAGGAGGAGGACGCCGAGGAGGAGCTGGAGCGCGGCAAAGGTTGCGTTGGTTGCGCGGAGGAGAGTCGGTGTTGGGCCTGGGGTAAAGATTGAGTCCCAGAGGTTGGTGACGAAGGCCGCCATGATTGATGAGGGAGGGGGTGTCGGTGTCTACGTTGTTTGTGAATGCGAAGGTTCGTCTCCGGCCGATAAAAGGTTGTACTCGTTTCGCTCGATCGTGTATTCGATTTCGTGGAGTTGATGTGCGGCCTGATGAAGTGAATACTGGCCGCGGTGTGGTGTTTGAAGTGGATGTGATGCTTCGTGGTGGAGTAATTTGCCCCGGGGGTAAGGAGCTTCGGAGGAGTGGACTCCGTTATGTTCTAGCTTATGGGAGCCACGAAGATGACCAGGGTAAGATTTTCTGTATTTTAGAAATGCAAGACGACGCTCGCGACGACTTTGTATTTGGCGATGATGCTGTTGTTTCGTTTGGATTTGCAGTCAGACGGCAGAGTCAGTGCGGTAAGAGCGCATAATAAATAGCGTTTCTGGGTTGAGCAACAATTGGGTTGAGGGAGGGGGGACAGGAAAGAGAGGGGTCCCTTCCGGCTGCTTAGGAAGGTCAGGGAAGGTTGTAGGTGATGTAAGGTAAGGTAGGTGCAGGCGAGGTACCATTTGACAACACGCGCGGGTTGTGGCGGGGGTTGGGAGAAGGAGGGAGAGGGGGAACGGTCGAGATAATGTACCTTTTCTTTTTGACCAACAGCAAGCCAGAAGAGACACGGTATTATCTCTCTCTCCTTCTAGCTCTCGGAGGAATGGTCGCAACGTGGTCACTCGGTGGTTAACAAATCAGGACAGGTGGCACATTAGAGAACAAGAGGTGACCGTGGCCTCGCGATAGTTGACATCAACGTGTTTAGATGTTTACGGGGCTGACTGTGGTTGTGAAGAGACAGTGGAGGGTGCAATCTAGAGTCATAGGGTTGCCTGTTAGGCAGAAAGACAGGCAGGTTTCCTCTCTCGGTGTGGTCACGGATTGCTCAAGTCAAAGAAGATAGCAAATGCCGTCAAGCAACGCGGAGGGATCGGTCACAGCACGCGGCCCTTCGGAACATGCTTCTTGGACTGTTTCTGTGCGACGCAGCGATAGCAATGGAGCGGCGGGAGGCCGGAATGACCCCTCCATGGCTCAGGAAACGTCACCGTCGCGTTCTTTTTTCCTGAGGTCGTGGGGTCGTGACCTCTCTAACGCAAAGCTTCAACTGAGCCGAGGCGAGGCGAAGGGGACCTGCTGACCAGCTTGTTGGGGTCCGTCGAAGATGAGTTGCGGGGTGAAGCATACAGAGCATCCGCATCCGTACTAAGTGGTAATTTATCTTATATTGACCGCGTCCTGCCAATACACGAGAAGTCAACTCCATCCCTTGATCCGGCACTGCTGCTTGCTTTGCTTGGTCTCTGCAGGCTGCCGTAGGTATGGATGTATTATATCTTCCATGCGCAAAGTATATGGTGGGGGTCAGTCATCGGCGATAAACGTTGCCGGATTTCGGTTTCACTCTGAGCCAGACACCAAGAACAACTTGTGGGAGCGTCAATGCGGCCGGCCACCATAAATATTTCCCATTTCTTACCCTACCATCTTGGAGGCATCACCCCCAGACTATACACATTTCCTTTGAGTGTCAACTAATACAGATAGCACGCAGGTCATGCAAAAAAGCTTAAATCCTTATTGTCAGTGCTGCCAGAGCCAGGTAAGAGGGGCTGCATGTAGCAGCGCCATTCCTTGCTTGTATCATCGGCCATGGTGTAAGACCGGCGGGAAGAAAAAAGATGAAATGATCAACTTGGTGCGCAGACATCTGTTCCTACCTATGCATTGCCCCCTGAAAACGATGGGGGACAGAATACCTATTTCGACGGAAGATGAAGAAGTGGCTAGGAGCTGTTTGCCGTATTTGCATACGGATATGTATTCGTATGCGTGTCTTCCTCCATAGCCGTCGGAGAATTTGAGCTTGCAGTTAACCTATCTCATTCGCATGGCAGGCCTGTCTGTGTGTGAGATATCGGCCGTCTCAAAGAAAGTAGTGTTAGGTTGTGACTAAGGGAGCAGGTCCAAAACAACTGAAATGCCATTGCCGCCAACGTTCAGGAACCACACGTCGCAAGATGATCCCGGGGTTCCGCCCCCAAATCTGGAACTGAAGATGCGGGACCGAATAGTTATGGGACCCGACGAATATACCCCTACCTATCCGTGTTCTTCTAAATCCGTACTGCCGCCGGATTGCTTTGGTTTTTGATGTACCTACCTATCCAACTTCGGGACTGCTCTCACTCAGGTGCAACACCTTCCTTGTATCCATTTGCTAACGACTTCCATCACCCCCAAACAAGCAAGAAGGAGATCCTTGAAAGGCAAGTTCTCAGTAACCCTGTCTCTTGTTTCCCTTTACCAATCAAATTGGGAAACAATTCCGTTCTCTTCTAGTCGGAGAAGTCGGAGTTTTTTGCCCCAATCTCTTACCTTACCTAAGGTGCGGATACTGAGAGAGGCAAGACCAGCAGTTGCGAGAAGGTACCACTTTGTACGGATAGGTACCTTCCTGCACACGATATCCGGGGAACGTGTGACCGGACCACCCACCTTAGCGCGGAGCACATTGGGAAAGACCTTGGCCAACCTACCTAAGCTGGTCCACCACCGGATCGACGACTGACGACCTGCACCGGCAACCAACGCACCACCACCACCTCCGCAACTACCATCATTTACCGCCGTCGCCGTCGCCGCTTCCTCCTCACCACAGAGCCGCATCGAACGAAATTTCATGACACCCCATGTCGGCCATTTCTGACATGACATGATTGGCCTCGCGAGACCTCTGCTGTCGCCAGCCTTTCTTTGATTCCCTCAACAAAGCATTTCCAATCATCTTCTTTCAGCCAGGTACTTCTTTTAATCCATTTTACCATACTGTTGTTCTCTGACCCATCCGCGGGTTCACAAAAAAAAATAACAAGACCAAAACGCGCCTTCCACATCCGAGCCAAGATACCCACGATCGCTTCCTCTGACGACTCACTCCTCACCCCGACAGTACAGCATATCGCGCCATTGGGAAACGGGAAAAGCCACGCCATTGTAGCAGTAGCAGCCTACAATACCAATCGACGACCGCTGCCATCGCGATCCGAAGCATGCGCTGAGGCCCCTCGCGATCATGGCCCCAGCCCTGCAGACCAGCGATCCTACGACCCATCAAGCCGCCGAGCCGCATCCGAACGAGGTCGAGCTTCCCTACCACAACGACGTCCCAGGCCACCCCGCCCCCGTTGGCCACGATGGCGTCCCTGATGCTTCGATAGACCCCTCGGTTGTCATGCGCAAGCTGATGAAGGGCAAGGACAAAGAATGGGATGCCGTCGCGCCCAGCAAGTCGGGGAAGAAGCTGACCCTTCTCGAGTTACCGGTGGACATCTTGCGCTTGATTATTAAGGAGGCAAGTTGAACCGCTATTCAACGTCTTGGTCTCTTCCCCAATACTAACCTTTGCGTTTCCCAGATTACGCACACGAATGACCTTACCTCGCTCGCCTTGACTAACTCGAACCTCCACAACCTCGCGATCCCCCACATCTACTCGAGATTCGACATTGTCTGGCCCGACGCCACCCAGATGACCACGTCCGACTCCAAGAGCGTCGATGCTCTGACCTATGGTCTATCCACAATCTGCCTTGGCAGCTCCTTCGCGCATCGCACCCGCAAGATGCTCAACCCGGGCTACATCCCTACCTACGGTTCCAACGTTCGGAGACAGAAGAACGACTACGCCAAATACACGAAGAAGTTCTCATTGGGCAATGGGCCACAGGACTGGGTGGCGGAGTACATGATATCCAAGGAGAGCGGCAAGATGCTGGGCACGCTCGTCGCTCTGGCTGTGGAGAAGATGGTCAACCTGGAGTCTTTCGTCTGGGATATGCCGACTGGTGTCCTTTCCGAAATCTTCATGGCTTTGGCATCCATTCCGGAACAGAGCTCGGACGGCGATTCGAAGCTCGAAAAGGTTTGGGTGAGATGGCATGACAACACCGACGGTTCCAGTCCGTCGCCATCCTCGAGTCCGCCTCCCCCGATTTCGCCCGTTGTTCCGCCCGGCAGCCACCTCACTACAGTCGGCATCTTGATTCCTTCGGACTCTTCCCATCCGACACCGCGGGGTGCGATCCCGTATGCGGAAACAAATATCGAATTTCCTACCTTCAGCGCCTTGCCTCCGCTCAAGAGTCTGACTGTTCTCGACATCGACGAACTTGCTTACCTAGACGAAATGGCCATAGCGATCGAAAGATCGCAAGACCGCCTCCAAGAGCTTCGCGTCGGCATATCTCCGAGGGCCGTCTTCAAGGACTTTGTCCAAGCCTGGGATGGGCCCGACTTGCAGCAGATTGATCGGGATGCCAGATGGCCCGGTGAGAGCTCCATTGGCGAGAGGAGACTAGGCGGCGTTTTGGGCGTGCTTGTCGGCCGTATCTATGACATTCGCCGCAAGCCGACATCGAAATCGAGAGAGAAGACCACTGTTGCGCCGACGCAAGCGACACAACAGTCCAATACCGCGACCCCTGTTGCGGATACCACGGAGACCTCGAATGCCTCGGAACAACCCAACCCGAACGACGAGCCGGAGGCTATGGACGTGGATAGCTCAGTCGAGCCGCTTTTGGTCAATGCCGTGGCTCATTCAACGGGAACAACTCATGCCACAGATACCAACAGCGATGATCGAGCACACCAGGAGGAAAACTCACAGCCTGCGAAAGACCAGGCGATCAGCGACGTGGACCTTGTGGATACATCTTCAGGGGTGCCGAGAAAGAGGCTGGACGGGAAGCTCAAGCTACGATCGCTCGAGCTCGAAAGAGTTCATCTGTCAATTCAAGTCTTTAGCCAGGCCTTCGACTGGACCGTCCTGACCACGTTGACCATACTCGAGTGCGCCCAGCACGATAGTCTCTGGAAGGCATTGCGGAAGCAATTCGCTCCCACTCCTATCGTCAGGCTCGGATCTCATCAACACCAGGTCAGCTCCAAGCAAGCTATGGAGTACCACCTCAACCTCAAGAGCATTCATACGGATATCACTTCGGCATATTTGATCAGCTTTCTCAGAGACACTCTAGCCCCCAACAGTTTAGAGGTCCTCTTCTTGCAGGATCGGAGGCGGCCCAGTGGGCCGCCAGCGGTGACCATCGATCAGATCTTCAAGGGAGTCATCAAGAAGCACCGGGCGAGCCTGCAAAAGGTTCTTCTAGATAGTTCAGACCGGAAGCGTAGCAACAGCAACACTGCCCCAGACGCCGCTCGTTGGCGCAACTGGGTGCTGCCGACAGACATGTTGCTTTACATGACCAGTGGGCGTATGGTGAGCCTCAGGGAACTCGCCGTTTCCTTACACTTTAAAGACTGGGTAAGGTTTTTTTTTTTCTTTTCATTTTCTGTTTATTATCTTGGAGCCGTGTGCCTCGTATCACGGGTTCATTCAGAAACAATCATGGCCTCATAACTGCCGTGATGCCCGGGGTTA